GCGGGAAATTTGAAAAAAAAAATTACGTGAAAAAAACCGAATTTTTAGGTGAAATTTTTTTTACGTGAAAAAAATTAACGCGGAATTTTTAAGTGAAATTTTTGACGTGAAACTTTTTCAGTAAAATTTTTACGTAAAAAATTACGTGGAATTTTTAACGTGAAGTTTTTTAGGTGAAAAAAAATTTACGTGGAATTTTTAGGTGATGGGTTAGGTCAAACAAACTGCGTGAAAAAAATTTGTGTTGGAATTCCGACCTGAAACTCCGGTTTTTCATCCCCCGATTTTATCTTTCCCCGGAATTTGTGGGGTCTCCGAAAATTTCGCTAATTATGCAAGCGCGCTCCAAAAGACAACGGAACGTTTTTTCCGGCGCCAAGCTCAAATTTTTCAAAATTTGCAAAACTTTTCTGCGAATCCTTCATCAAAACCCTCTAGAGAAAACAAAAATTCATTAATTCACAAGCTATGCAGGACTATATTTACAATAAAATCATTTTCAGTACAAGTATTTAGAATAAGTAGAGTTTTCAGTGAGAGACACCCGTGCAATATAAAATTGAACAAATCAAAGAGTGAGGAATTGGGGAAACTGGGATGGAAAATTGGGAAGATGATGTCATAGGAGGGATAACACAGATGGGAACATGGAATAAAGCTATAGTACAAGTTTTTTTTAAAAAAATTTAAAAATTGGGTCACATGTAGGCGTGATTAGTATGGAATCCATTGGGTTCTCCTTTTGGAATATACGGTGGAAGAGGTTCTGGAGATAGGCCATCAGATCGTTTCGGTCGACGGCCGAGCAGAGAATCGAAAAGACCGAGCTGGAAGAAAATCGGTTTGCTATGGCCGAGTTTAGGAGTTTTCTAGTTCACCAAAGGTTATCTTACCGAAAACGCTAAAAATAGAATGCCGAGAAGCAGCAAGATCGCTCCAATGATCATCATAATATTACAAGAAGTGTATGCGATTTGTTCGGTTTCATATAGCTGAGAACGGATTTGTTCCAACGAGTCATCGTCGATTTCCGAAGTTTCGTGTAGAATGATCACCGGGATCAACGCGGATTTCATCTTTTTCAGGTTCACTCTGAAAAAATGAAAATTTTCGAAGTTTTCTCAATAGAGCGCATTTGCAAATAATCAAATTTTGAATTTTGAAAAAAAAAGCAAAATTCGCTCCATTGAACAAGTTTCGAAAGTTTCTCCATAGAAAAAGTTTCTCCATAGCGCATTTGCCAACAAAAAAAACTTACGGGAACGTCAAATTTTTGCCCTTCCACATCTCAATGTTCACTTGAGATACACGTCGAGCATAGAGGACCGCACCGACTCGCTGAAAATTGTTTTTTTTTCAAATGGCCTAATTTTGATTTTCTAGGTTATCAAAATCGAAAAGGATGTTTTTCTGCTATTTAGCACTTTTAGGCACGGAGACAAAAATCAAGAAAAATCAAAAATTCAAGTTTTTTCATCTGGCCTAACTCTGGTTTTCTAGGCCACCAAAGTCAATTGGCACCTGACGATTGTTTCTTCTCCTATTTTCGACAGCTAGATCACAAAAATCATCGAAAATTCAAAATTCCTCGTATGGCCTAACTTTGGTATCCTAGACCACCGCACTCACCGGCTCAATATCCACAACAATCGAGTCTCGAATATCGTCCGTCTCATTCAGCCCTTTAACACTTTGTCTCACTTCATCAGGTGCAAAAAGGAAGTTGGGCAGCGAAATCGTAATCGGTGGTTGCGATTTTTGACATTTGGAAATTTCTAGAAGACCTTTTGGCATGCAACCAGACGAATCATTAGACTGTGCAGAGAAGAATTGTTTTTCTGATGGATTACAGTAACCCTCGTTTCCCGGATGTCTTATATCGAACACCTCGGGCGGTACGACGTATCGATACGCTTTTAGGCCACGATACTCGACTTCTTCCTGGAATAAAGTTGGCCTAGAAATACAAATTTGGGGTTTCTAGGCCATCAAGGTAAATAGCCTAGAAATCCTGAAAACCAGGTCATAAGCCACAAAATTAGAATATGACCTAGGAACCCAAATTTTCTGATTTTCTAGTCCAGAATGTCCTTTAGTTGAAATGGCCTAGAAATACAAATTGAAGGTTTCTAGGCCATGAAGGGAAAAAGGTAACACCTGGTCTGATGGCCTAGAAATCCTGAAAACTAGGCCATCTAGACGAGTTCTAAGCCACTAATTGAACATGACCTAGAAACCCAAATTTTGTAGTTTTCTAGTCCCCCTTACACAAACCTTAAATTCCAGCCAAATCGATCGGCACAACTCGGCGACATAAACCCATAATTTCTCGTCTTTCCTCAAAAAAGGATGAAACAGCGACCCATCGGTGCCTCGAATCTTCAACGACTCCTCCGTACTCCACCACGTTTCATCCAACAATTGCTCATCGTCATACTTCAGAATCTTCCCTAAATTCTCTGGATTCTCAGTGCCATCGTCGATTTCATACATCTTGCTAGCCGTGTTATTGGCCTCGAAGAACAGTCCAATTCGCTCGGGAACATCCAAAATCGCCTCACAAACGAAATTCATGAATGGAATTTCGCAGACCTTGTCCAGAAATGGGTCTTTGTATCCTTCGAATAGCAATTCTTCGACTTCCACTTCTAGAAATGCCGTTTGGGACAAGAGGGTCGTTGCGGCCGCTTTCATTCCTTCTGTCGACGCTGCTTCGACGAATTTCTGAAAAATTCTTTCAGTCAGTTTGTGGGGTTCAGGACCAGTGGCCTAGAAATCCAAATATAGAACAAATGTAGGCCAGCAACCCCTTTTTTCTTGGTTTTTCACACAAGTTCAAGGTTTCTAGTTAATTTCACTGTCAATTTCATGAAATTCGCATCAAATTATTATTTTGATTATTTTGAAGAGTTTTCAAGGATTAAGGCCAGTGGCCTAGAAATCCGAACATAGCACTTCTAGGCCATCTGAACCTTTTTTTGCCTTTGCCAAGCCTTTTTCGGGTCGATTTCCATGCAATTTTTACTTTCAAAACCCCAAAAACCCGAAATTTCCGCTCCTCACCTGATAAATCATATTGGGAACCCAAATCCGATTGCCCAAAATACACGTTTGACATGATTCGTCTTCGTTAAACTTATAGGACAAAAATCGCTGATACTTTACAGTTCCATTCGACGCCGAAACCACCCGATTCTCGAGTTTCTTATCAAAAACGTATGGTCCGGATCCGGAAACTTCTGGAATCGCTCCATTCATAAATTCATCCGGATTTTTCATTGAGTAAACGAATAAATTGAAGCGAATCTTGTACTCGGGCATGGTCCATTTCTGCCACAGGACTGATCCGTTGATTAGGCGCGAGTTCTGAAAAAAAAATGATTTTCGGGTTACGGTAGTTTTCGTTCCGGGACACTTTTGCTTCCTATTACAAATTACCCAAAACGTCATTTGAACGTCATCTCTTGTGAGGTACAAAGAGAAAATTGATGATGGCGGTCAGAAGATGTAAACTTTGATCAAAAGACACTTTCTAGTTCAGCAAGTTCAGATCACAAGATTTGTGTCAGAAGAAGGAAGGGAAAATGAACAAAAAAGGAATTTTGAAGACAAAAGTCTATTATTCGGCTTAGGGAAATTTCGCCAAAGTGATAATACAGGTGATTGGATAGCTTTTAAGACTACAAAGATGATTTTTGGTTTTTCAAAAATTGGAACTTTTTCAATCTCAGAATGTGTTCAAACTATCAGAAACAGCCAGCTTTTCTAAATTTTAGGTCTTTTCTGATAGAAAAAATTCTGAAATTCAATTTTTCCGAATATTATTTTTTTTAAAAACTTTTTTTTTTAATTTTTCGAATTTTTCAAATTTTTAGTTGAATTTTTTAAATTTAAGGTCGAATTTTTCAAGTTTTTAGTTGAATTTTCAAAATTTGGGTAGAGTTTTTCAAATTTTTGGATGAATTTTTCAAAAAATTTTCGAATTTTTCAAATTTTTGGTTGAATATTTTAAAATTTTAGTCGAATTTTTCAAGATTTTAGTCGACTTTTTCAAAATTTTGGTCGAATTTTTCAAATTTTTGGTTGAATTTTTCAAAATTTCGGTCGCATTTTCAAATTTCTGTCTGTCCAGATGTCTGCTCTTACATCTTCAATGCTGCTTTTAACAACACTTGGCACGACAACAGTGTGTGTAATTAGACTTCCAAACAGTAAAAATGAGCCAAGACCAATGAGAATTGCCGAAATTATCAATTGCCAACATGTCATTCGTCTTGAGTATTTTGATGTGATTGGTGTCGATGACGAGGTGCCGTTCGATGCATTACTGCCTGAAAATGGGATTTAAATAGTGAAATTTGTCTGAAAACTCAAAAGTTCCAAAAAATTCTTTTGTCTTTTGAGAATTTATCGAGAATTACAGTCTTTTCGGCTGAAATTTCGGTTTTTTTTTTGAATTTTAAGACACTTTTTATTGCTAAGCTTACTGGAAGGCATTGGGCCGAGAATTCTCCGATTTCGCTTCTATCCGCCCTTCTTTTCTGGAAAAGTCTAATTTTTTTCGAAAGAAGGACTCTGAAAATCGAAGAACTAAAACGAAAAAAAAAATTAAATTTGATAGATCAAGATGTCAAAAATTTTTTCCACTGTTCTGAAATTCTTTTTTTTTCGACAATCGTTGGAATGTGTAATGGGGGACAAAAAGAGAACAGGTTATCTTCTATTCTCTCTCGAGAAAAAAAATATTCCGCCTCTTTTCTGTCGAAAAATTGGGAAAAAGTAAGGAGAAAGAAGGTTCTTATCTTCTTTAATTCCGAGAGAAAACTAGAGAGAGGTTAGGAGACGCAGAGATATCAAGGAACGGATATGGGAATGGTGTCGATATGATAATTGATTGCTGTTTTTTTCAACTTTTGTCGGAATTTTTGAAAAAGAAAGTTGAGGAATTCGTTGAATTCGTTGACTGTGTAGTCCAGTTACACCCTTTCCTTCTGTTTACGACGTCATTTGATCGAAAATGGAATCACTTTTTTCTTGGAAATAGATGAGTTTCCAGAAGAAATGTGACAGTGAAATTTTCTGATTGAGATTTATGTCATGGATTATTTTGGGAAAAAATAGAAGGAACTCGCACTTTTGTTGTCGAAAAAACGGCGAAAAAACGCCAGAAAAATCTTGGAAATTGATTGAAAAAAACTATACAGTAATGTTAAAGGCGCATGAAAAAATTTATAAGGGTTACTGTAGAAAGTTTGGTTTTTTACTGTAAAAAACCTATTTTTGGCTCGTTTTGGCGAAAATTAAGCAAGAAAATATTAGAAAATCGAACTAGCAATAGAAAATTTCTAAAAATAAAATTAAAATACCCAGCGGGGGTACCCAAGTTCCCTAGTAGATCATAAATTAGCCTACTGAAAAATAAGGAATCAGATTTTTGTTTAAAAATCAAAAATAATAAAATTAACTATCACTTAATAGAAGATCGGGGTAATTATTGTCAACTGACGAATTTTCAAAATGATAGAAAAATCAGCTGACCATCGAACATGATCAGAATAACATCCCAAAAAAAATAAACCTAAAAAAAATGAAAAGGAAGAAGAGGAACTGATCAATGCGCAAGAAAAAAGTATTTTCTGATAATAGTACCTAAATGGACACCTATTACACAATTGGCTTCTTCAAGGTAGGTCACAATTGCATATACTTGGGAAAAACAATTTAAAATGTTTTTTTTAGAAAAAAGTTTAGCAAAAAAGGAAAAGAAAGGAATAGAAGGATTAAAGGGGTTGCTAATCTGGTAGTTTCACCTTTTCCCACCGGAACCAAGAGGTTAGAAGAAGAGAAAAACAACTTGGAATATTTTTTCAAACTAAAAAAAACTTGTGGGTATTTGAAAAAAATCTCTTGAGTTTGCAAGCGCGCTCCACCAAAAATATTCAAGTTTTCCAAAAAAAACAGTTGAAAACCTAACTTTGCTGTTTAATCGATTCTTATATAACTTTATGAACAGAATTCAGTCGTCTTCTCGTCTTCTTTTTTCTTCCCCACCAACAAAAGAACGAACGTAATCGAATGAATAGGAGATTTGGTGGAAGTACATCTATTAGCTTTCGGGATTTGTTGTCCTTGTCCTTGGCCTCCTCTACACAGAAACTTCTAGGAGTTGAGAAGAATAGGTTTCGGCAACTTATTAGGTTAGCTAATTGAGGTAGGTTGGTTATAATAATTGGGGTCAAAAGGCAAAGGTACACGAGTGTTGAACCACTTGACAAAAACTGGAAGCAATAAAAAGCAAATGAAGCAATATACCGTAAACACTCTAGTAGAACGCCGCCCGGACCGTTCACTTTAAGCCTATATATCTCACTTCTTTTGAAAGATATCAAAAAGTTGTCAACTAATAAAATGGTTATCATAATATCAGCCACATTTCATTAGTTAACCACTTTTTGATACCTTTCACAGAAAATGAAAGCGTAGGCTCAAATTCGACGATTCGGGTGGCGTTCATTTAGAGCGTTTACGGTATACCGTATTTCCTCTAATTGAAGCCAGCCAAAGTTTTCAATTTTGAGCTCAATGATCTCGATTCCTGTAAAAGGTATCAAAAATGTGTCAACTGGTAAAATATGTATCATAATATCAGCAACATTTTATCAGTTGACAAATTTTTGATATCTCTCATAGGAACAGAAATAATCAAGCTCAAAGTTGACAGTTTGATTGGGCTTCAATTAGAGGAACTACGGTAATCTTTTTGATTATTGTCATTCCAGAAAAAAAGTATTTAACAATCACACATTACCCTTTTTTTTTGAAAAATATGAAAAAAGAAGGAAGAAAATGTTAAAAACCGGTAATTCCTCACCACTCAAGGAGGCCCACAGCAGACATAGGCTACATAGTAGATACAAAGATTCCAATCTATGTCCTTTTTCGATTTTTCCAAAGTTTCAATTTTATTGAGTGTAACTGATATCGGAAGGAGATAATAATTTATGACTTTGGAGAGAGACAGACTAACTACATAAAATACTTTGTATTGTTTTGTGGTTAGTCAAGTGGAAGAAAAAAATTAGGAGATAGTATCATTTTTAATGGGAAGTAGAATTTCAGGCAAATTTCAAAAAATTATTCGGGCCTCGGGAGACAAGGTTAGCAGTTTAAATTGTTGATGATTCACTGTACAAATTTCAGCTTGAATAACAAAAAAAAAATTGTATCTTATCATTCACCAAATGTAAGCAAACCGGAATCTAAAAAATAGTCTTAAAATGCAAAAGAACGTTTCTAAGCTTCTGAAAATAGAAATTTTGAAATTTGCAAAAAGAACATTCTAGACTATGGCCAAAACATAACACTTGAGAAATTAATGTGAATCCTAAAAGGCCAGAGTACTTGTCTCTCCAGAGATGAAGGTGGGAATCAGAGCGGTAAACTAGGAAAGAAAGCGTGCAAAAGTTTAAAGGGACATAGACTATGTCACATAGCCCCAAAATCAAATTGGTCGGAATCAGAAGATCACAGTAGGGTTAAAAGTCCAAAGGGCTAATTTAGGGTAAAATTGAAGAGAGTTTTCAGGTCAACAAGGAAAATGTGTGATGACATAAAAATAGAAATGTTTTCTTACTCAAACAAAGTTTGTAATCTCTAATATGAAATGAGAAAATCAGTTTCACAATGACAATCGCGCCAATCTGAACGGATCTCCACTTGTCTTTATTTAGAAGTATGTATTCAGAATTTCTATGCACTTTTCCGAATCCTCTTGTTCACGCGCTGTAGTAGCATTTCAAGAGGAGAGAGAGAGAGAGAGAGAGAGAGAGAGAGAGAGAGAGAGAGAGAGAACCAGCTTTTTTCTACAATGACTGTATAAATAGATCGTACATCAGATGATTCAGAAAAGAACAGTTTCACAAAATAGTAGTATTAGCATTGAAAAAAAAACTTGTTCGCTTTTTCGGTCATGCCAAAGGTAGTGATTATTATACAGGACATGCCAGGGAACGGCTAGCCTATTTTTGACGTTCTTGAAAAGGCACAGATAGGTTAAAGACGTTAGACTAATTAGTAGTACAAGATTAAACACAAATTCAAATAGTCCTAGTCAAGTTGGAGAGAGAAAGTTGTCGGTTTTACAAGGGAACCTTTTGAGTGAAGGTAAAAGTTAGCAGAAACCACCTACATAGATCGAAAGAACATGTTCGAAAACCTATAAATCAGTTTTCAAAGTCTGCTTATGAGACCTTTGAAGTGCTGAAATTTCAGTTTCAGTACCAAAAATTCCATTTTCAGTATAAAATCGGCACTTTTCAAATTTGATTTTCTCCACTGCTAGGAGGTTTTAAGACTTAAAATTTTTTGTGTAATACTCAAAACTATGTGAAATTTTATATTTCAGACATTTTCTACATTTTCTAAAAAAATTTTTTTTGGGCCCACCGAAAATCTAGGCAAATTTTGAAACTTTCCAAAACTTTTCCGAAAATACTTTTTTTTTCAGAAAATGTTTGAAATATGAAATTTCACATAGTTTTGAGTATTACACAACAATTTGAAGCGCTAAACCCTCCTAGGAGTGGAGAAAATCAATTTTGAAGATTGCCGATTTTACACTGAAAATGGGATTTTTGGTACTGAAAATGAAATTTCAGCACTTCAGAGGTCTCGTAAGCAGACTTTGAAAACGGATTTATAGGTTTTCGACAATGCCCTTTCGATCTATGTAGGTGGTTTCTGCTATCTCCTATCTTCACTTAAAAGGTTCCCTTGTTAGATTACCGAATTTTACCTCCTAACTTGCAATTCTTAGTCAATTTGTCTCGGCTCCTGACACAGTTAAGAATAGTCTTGAACTGATAAATTGTTTATCATACTACCACAAAAATTTTTCCGCTGACAAATTTTTGATATTTCTCATAGGACCCAAGACAATTGAGCTTAAAATTGGAAGTGTGGGGGCCCTTCTATTACAGGGTTTGCGGTAAAATAACTAGAAATTCCACATAGTAATGTTGTAAATAAGCGTTGAACGAATTCGATGTGTTTGGTATGTATGCAAATTAATGACCAGAAAGATAGAAAAGCGAGGATAGGGTTCAATTCAGCGGGCGAATTTATGACACCCAATAAACATTTTGGATGTAGGAATTTTACAGGAAGGTCATGGGCACGGAATTCGTTGAAATTTGTTTTTGAACATAAAATAAACAAAAGAAAAAAGATAAAAAGACAGTTTGGAACCAGGAAAGTTCCAAAAAATTGACTAAAATCGTTAGAGTGGATCAAAGAAGAAGTAGAACTTCATGCATCGGAAGATCAAACAAATCACGGCAATCCGTAAGAAAAATCAATAGATCAAAAAGATTAATTCCATGTTGTATAAGGAGAAACTGTCTAAGAAACCAGGTTATCCCTTCTTTTGCAGAAAACAAGGGTACCCATAATACAACACAAAACATAGAAATTTCGTTTTTTCTCTAAACCTCCTTTCTTGTTAAGCAGATGATGACGATGATCGGTGAAGAAAAGGTTTCAAGGTTTCTTTTCTTTTTTTTTTGGTGTATCGAGACTAAAAGAAGACAAATGACATCACACTAAATGATTAGATGTTCAGGGAACAGATTTTTCAAAATTTGGAATGATAGTGAGTGGAACATTTTGGGCTTTGAGACAAGTACCGTAAAATCTGTATTGGAAGTGTTCCTCTAATAGGACAGCCTCATTCATTTTGAATAAGAATAGATTGGATTTTTTGAAAAAAAAAATTTAAAAAACCCCCCATGAAAACAGAGGGTCTCCCTTTAATTGAAAGGCCCTCGTAATAGGAGGACCCTCCGGAGGCCCCTTGGAAACAATAGAAGGACATACCCTTCTAATAGAGGTATTACAGTATTCTAAACTTAAATTTTAAAAGGTTACTAGTTAAGACAGAGAGCGAGACAGAGACAGATACAGAAAAAAGGAAATTGAGGTATAAAAGAAAAATTGTGACACCAGAAGCGAATTGAGTGAAAGGAGGAGGATGGGGAAAAATAGGGTCATCATATATACCGCGGAGGAAACAATACGGAGAAGTGAAATATCCCAAAAACTGTTGGCTTTGTCTGCGTCTCTCATCTTCTCCGATTTCGGACGACATTTCTACGGTTTTTATGACCATAAGCGTTTCTCTTTCGGAATGTTTTACTTCGCACGCGGGTTTTTAGAATCTGGATGGGGATGAAAGGGTTTTCAGATTTTTGGGACTGAATTCCAAAACTTTGTAGTTTTCATAGCAAGAAAAGGAGAAAAAGGTGAAAGTTGAAAACCTGTAAAGTTAGATTCTGGTTCTTGGATTCTTCCAACTTCTTTCTGAATCTTTAGATTTTGACCCAGTATCTAAGGGTACATCGCAAAAAAGGCACAGGATTGGTTCCAAGGGTAAATGGGATTTTGAGGTACATATGAGAGGAAGAAAAAAGATTATTTTTTACAGACTATTTCCATTTTTGCTCAAAATTATAAACTAACCAGGGAATGGTGCAACTGGGTCATGGAATTTTGGCACTTGACCTATATCATTTGAAAACTGAAAAACGTTATTTACGAATATGCAATCAAAATTTGCTTGTGCGTTAAACATCTCAGAGTAAATTCGGTCTTGAGCTCTCTGCTTCCCAATGTTTTAGGTCATGTGTCATAACTCCATGACCCGTTTGCACCATTCCCTGGTAAGGCTTAAACTATCTATACCCCACTCGATGTATCCGTGGATCCTGGGCCATGGATGTTGGGATCAGATAATTAAAGTTACGATAGATGGTTGTTATTCCGCTAATCAGTTTCACATCGTTTTTTCCTACGGATGCTAAACAAGAAAACCACTATCTTATCAAAATGCTTTTAGGATAGGCCCTTTATGACTGCATATCGACTGTCGGATTCTCAGCTTATTCTTTAAAGTTATGATTGGGTCACAGCAGTCTTCCCATGGTCTAGGTTACGATCATAATATTGACAGTCCTCTCCTTCCCAGGAGTCAGATTCATTTACAACCATATTCGACTCATGTACGTTTTCTCATCTTCAGTTTGTCTGTACATCATGACATGATACACATGCTGTCATCAGTTCTTCGTATACCAGGTGTGCTCCGACCGCCACGACGCACCGGTTACGCCCCTTTTTGGGATCAAGTGTCTCTATATAAAGGGTTTCTACCCGGAACGACATAACCATTCTGGCCCAAAGTTCCATTTGTTTTTCCTCCTTTCGCGCTCATTTTCCAGAAATACTGTTTTGATCTACAATGTTTTATTGTAAATCCCAACAAGCGCGCAATGAAGTCTCGATTTTTTGTTCTCGTTTAAAAAAAATCCTCTTATATCTTTTTTTGTACCAATCATTAAAACACTTAATTATTCTTTTTTCCAGAAATGCCCGTCGAGTATGACACATTTTCCCGAGTCGCTGAGCTTTCCAAAAAATTGAAGACCGGTCAGGATTGTAACATGACGTTGATATACCTGTTCATCATTGATCCTCCCCTTGAATGGGTTGATATGTTTGGAATCAAGTCAGATGTTGCTTCGTATCAAAAGTTTAAGGCCACAAAAGTGGCGGCGACTGACCTAATGATGCAGATTCAACTCAAAGAAGAAGCTGCCTCTCTAGAATCTACTGTATCCAAAGAAGAAGTTTGTCGAAACCAGAAAATCGAGAAGCAAGAGCAGTCCGTCTCTACACCACCAGTACCTACACCAGTACCGTGCCATAAATTCGAGAATAAAGTATCAAAATCTGTGACCCCTGCCGATCTGGGTCTCGACCTTTCTGATTCCGAGGATTCCGATGTTGAAGATGAGACTCCAAAGAGCCAGACAGCGGATCAAAGTACCGGATGCTATAAGAGTCCATCGTTTCCAATTAATGGTAAGACGAGGTTGAGGAAATAGGAAAATAGTCTAATAAATTTTCAGGTATTGCTTATCAAAAGCCAAAGGCCGATCAGAAGTCACTGAAAGCAGCAGCGAAAAATAGATACTCGGGCAAGAAACCAAATTCTGAGAAGTGCCGAAAGATGGCCCGTGGTATCCAATACATGACCAAGGAAACTCCACAATCGGTTACTTTCAAACTCGACGATGATCTTATGAAGCTGGTTAGAATGGATGCAATGAAACAGAAGGAGGAAGAGTTGAAGAAATTGCAGGCAAAAGAGAATCGTGCTCCACACAGAAAGAGCAAGGCTTATTAATGAATCCTAGAGGTGAGTATTTTTTAGAAAACATTTTTTCTGTTATTTGAAAACCTTTTCCTGCTATTTTACAAATCAAATATTTAAATCAAAAAATCTATTTATCTATTCTTCCAGATTCCTCCATAGTCAATATCCATTCTCACCAGCTGTGTACTCGTCACTGCTCATCTCAATTTTCACAATTTTGATCTCGGCAAACTCCATGTGCCATCTCACCGTTCCATTGCTCGTACATCATTCTTTTTCCTTCAGAAATCCGAAAAATCCAAAAAAAATCATATATATCTAACCCACATAATAACTTTTCTAAAATTACTAAAATCCTAAAAAAATCGTCGATCTCTATCAATCTCTAAAACATATACTAAAACTGTTTTTTCTTAAAATTTCAAGGTTCTAAAACTCTACTAAAACCCCTAACTCTCTACTTCTTTTCATTGTACATTTATTTTTTTTTAATTTTAAAATTTTCATTTGAGCTCAATAAATTTTATTATTGTGAAAGCCTGTTTTTTAAAGTATGTCATTGAGGTGATTCAGAAGTTTCAATACTTTAAAATATCCCATTACTACATTGATTGCACCTATCCAAGATTTATTCGAAAATTCCAGAAAAGCCAAGAGACAAGAAACATTAATCGTTGGGTGCTAGACATTTAACTACACATCATTTCATCAAGACATTAAATATAGAGAAGAATTTTTTCAAACAAAAAATTAGAGAGAGATCGAAGCCATTAAGCCAAGCAATCCCAAAAATTAATAGGCGTGGTTGGCGACGAAGAGGGATTGAGAAGCGGCGGCGTCAGCAGAAGCGTCTCCAGTGTACTTTCCAACGGAAGCTAGTGAGTTGACTTGAGCACGATGGAGAAGGACTTCTTGAGCGGCGGCAATGTTCTCGTCTTTTCCGGCCCATTTGGCAAGGCACGATGCTTGAAGAGCACGTCCGTAAGAGAAGGTCAGAGCCCATGGCTTCTTTCCGGTGACCTAGAAAAGAGAAGAATTGAGGAGTTGTGTAATTAGTACTACTCTCTCACCTGGTTGATGGCGTTCAAGTTCTTAGTAGCATCCTCTTCGGATTGTCCTCCGGAAAGGAAGACAACTCCTGGCACAGCGGATGGAACTCCACGTTGAAGAGCAGTGACAGTGGCCAATCCGATGTCAGCGTTCGATGGCTTCTCACCAGTGAACGATTGTCCAGAAGTGACCATGTTTGGCTTGAGAAGAGTTCCCTCCAAGAAAACGTGATGCTCGTTGAGAGCGTGGTAGACGTACGAGAGAACGGTCTCGGTGATCTTTTGTCCGCGAGCCAAGTCGTGCTCACCGTCTGGGAGGATCTGGAAGGTTGGATTATGTGAGCTATAGCTTCTACTTTATTTTCAAACCTCTGGCTCAACAATTGGGACCAATCCGTTCTGTTGGCAGATGGAAGCATATCTAGCCAAAACCTGAGCAACCTCCTTCAAAGCAGTGACCGATGGGGTGGTCGACGAGATCTTGTGAACACATCTCCACTTGGCGAATTGAGCTCCGTCCTTCTTGTATTGAGCACAACGAGCATTCAAGTCATCCAAACCTTGAGTGGTTCCCTCTCCGATGGTTCCAGCCAATGGAATGACACCCTTGTCGACCTTGATTCCTGGAATGATTCCTTGCTCCTGGAGAAGGGCAGTGAATGGTTTTCCGTCGTCGGTCTTCTGGTAGAAGGTCTCGTGGAACATGATGACTCCGGAGATGTACTTGTTGAGATCGGCTCCAGCGGTGAAGAGGAGTTGACGGTACTTGCGACGGTTCTCCTCGTTGTTCTCGAGTCCGATGCTGGTGAGACGCTTCTCCATTGATCCGGTCGACTCATCGGCAGCTGGAAAAGAGTCGATTAGATTATCGGGAGTTTTTAGAAGTTTACCTGGGTAAACTATGATTAGAGAGAGAGAGAGAGAGATTATAGGTCTTATCCTCAATCAGATTACAAGGCTAGCTTGCCTTAAGCTTGCACTAACATGTCTAATCTAAACTTTGAGTGAATTAGTTAGTCTTCACAAGCTATGATTAGCTTATCTTGACTAGCATCGACATTAGAGCGCACTTGTCAAAAAATAAATCACTAACCCAAGATTCCCTTTCCTGGGGCAATGATGGCGTTGGCGATGGAGCGAAGCTCATCCTCCTGAGCCTTGGTCAAGTATTGCGAGTAGGAAGCCATTTTTCAGAGCGATTACCTGCAAAAAAGAGTTTGAAATTTAGAAGGATTCAAAAAAAATAGATAGAGGGGTTAGTTTCAAAAGTAGAAACATTTCAAAAGAGTCTATAGAAACATAGAACCTTTTAGAAGTTGAAAAAAAAAACAAGTGGGGCACCGCCCGAGTTGTGTGTGCTCCGAGAGCCGCTGCCGCTCACTGATAAAACCGAGGGTCTTCAGTAGAAAAGAGCCGCAGGGGGCCTCTTTCTCTGTCGCTCTCTTCTTCTGCTTCAGACGAATCGATGGCACGACGCCATCAAGCGAAAGAGTATCGAAAAGGAGAGAAAGGCAGAGAAACGAGAGCGACCCTGCTACGTGATTTGCGAGAAATTTTGTGAGAAGGAGCCAGCGGCAGTGGAGTGAGAAGAAGAAGAAGAAGAAGTCCTGAGACTTGCCAAAAAAAACAAGAGAGGAGATTGTGGAGGATGAAGAGACGCAGACAGAGGGAATTGAACTTTTGGAGTCTTGGAGTTTTGGATAGAGAGATTTGATTTGGCTCTTTGGACACGTCGATATAGAGAAGGCGAGAGATATGAAGATAAAAATATCATGATTCGGAACCTCGGAGTTATAGAATCTAGAAGATTGGAAATTTGAAAATCTAAGAATCCAGCAATCTCGATATTCGAGAATTTTGGAATCTGTGAATCGGACAACTAAAAAATCGATATCATCAAAATATTCAAATTCCGAGCAACTAGAAATTTTGGACTGTGACAATCTAAAAGAATAAAAATCTTGTGAGAAACAAATACGGATGACTGGATCTTACAATCTAGTCAACTCAAATTCTCGAAAAAATCTAATATTCTTCAGAAAATCACGTAATCATGTTATCATCTATCACAAATATTTGGAGCTTTTTCATTTTGGAACCTTCTGTATGAAATGAGAAGTTCTGAGAAGAATAGAAAGAATGATGCAAAAAAGAGGAGAAAAAATAAGGATGGTGAAATAAAATGAAGGATGCATAAAAGAGAGGATGATGCAAAAAAGGGGCAATTTTCCCGTCACTCCCACAAACACTTCCAATAAGTGCTAACTGAAAAATTGGCTCAAAAATTTAGAAAATAGTTTTTTTAGCTTTTTGGCATAAATTTGACAAAAGAGAGAAACTGCATAGATTTGCATAGGTCCGTGCTTGTGACCGCAAAGCTCAGAATATGTTTCTTTTGTTTTGTCAAAAAGAAGGAGTGAAGTGAAATAGGACGCATGATGCAATATATTCGAAAAAAAGGGGCGGAGTCTCTTTTTGGATTATGAAATTTGGTTTTGTTGAAGGTTTTCTAGGATTCATATAGTACTAACACATTGGGAAGATATGGAGCTGGGATCAGAAATAAAGGAAACTAAAAAAACTGATTAGATTATGAGGGGCTGGTAACTTAATTAGCGTGTTGTAAGATGAAACCAAAGCTCTAAAACTCAAAAATCCAAACTTTCAAAGTTTTAGAAGTTTTTGTAGTTATGGAGATACCATATTTTTTAAATTCCTGCAATTTTTTGAAAATATTGGGATTTTCGAAAAAATAACTTACTGGAAAGTATTCATTAGTTTTTTTTGAATCCCGAGTTTTCATTTTTACAAAATTTTGGAAATTGCTCTTCGAAAACTTGCAACTTCGTAGTTTTTGATCTACAATGTTTTTTTTCCTTTTTTCCATTCACATTTAGTATCCAGATACGGTATACCCTACGAAAAGAAAGGATATGAGCAAGGCAGTCAGTTGGCTCCGCCCCTTCATATGTAAAAGGCGAACTATTTCTAAAAAGTTTCAAAAAGGACTGATTGATATTTCTATGGAGAGTTGTAAGATAGGTTTGGACCAACAGGGGATATTCAAGAAATCGATTGAAATTTGTTGAATTCTCGAAGATTGGAGCTTCAAAAAATGTTCTTTCCAAAGCTCTACAAAATCCTAAAATTCTACATCGGAAACTTTTCTGATTCTGAGACCATAACTCGAAACCTCACCAGATATTCTTATAGCTTTAAAAAAGTAAGGTACCGGATTCTTGTCTAGCTAAGTTTAACAAAACGGCTCTCTCGGTGAGTCGAAGAAGATGCTCATATGAAATTCTCGTGAAAGAAGAATTTTGTTGATTTGTGTCCGAAACTCATTGGCAATTGTTCCCCCGTTTCAAAAAAGAACGAGGCGCAGACATTCAAAACGAAAAAAAATTGAGAAGAAATATTATTTATTTTTCAGAGCAACAAGAGAAATGGATGTGAAAAACTGGGAAAAGAAAAGTGAGAATGTATTTGTGTAGTTTTTGAGCAAAGAGACGAAAAAAGAGAGAGAGAGAGAGAGCTGTGTTCAAAAAGCAGTTCTCTCAACTTGTGATGTTCCTGAATTTCGATTGTTGTCCATTAAAAGAAGCGAGTGGGTGGAGCCAATTGAAGATGGAGAGCGTGTTACAGATGGAGAGACGCAGAAAACAAAAATTATGAATTGAAGGACGAGAAGAAGAAGAGACGCGACGGCACACCCGTTGAGGAGAACGATTCTGAAAATGGGATTTTTAGAAATTCAGACTCTTAAATTTATGATTCTGGAGATGGCAAAAAAGAAAAATCACTGAATCTTAGGATCTCTGAATCTTAGGATCTCTGAATCTTAGAATATCTGAATCTCAGAATTTCAGAATCTCAGAATTTCAGAATTTCAGAATTTCAGAATTTCAGAATTTCAGAATTTCAGAATTTCAGAATTTCAGAATTTCAGAATTTCAGAATTTCAGAATTTCAGAATTTCAGAATTTCAGAATTTCAGAATTTCAGAATTTCAGAATTTCAGAATTTCAGAATTTCAGAATTTCAGAATTTCAGAATTTCAGAATTTCAGAATTTCAGAATTTCAGAATTTCAGAATTACAGAATTTCAGAATTTCAGAATTTCAGAATTTCAGAACTCCCAAAATTCCGAACTTCAAAATTGATGGAATTCTCAGTTGCTGGACTTTTGGATTCAGAATCTCCATATTTCCAAATCTCATAATTTTAAACTTTGAGAATCCTATAATTTTGGTTTATCAACTCTCTTTCTCTCGGAATCTTAGAGTTAGAATAACATGATTTGTTGAAAATTCAATTTCTGTGTTTCCCAATATCCTGATTTCCATTAAAAAACTCACCCTATTTCCACCGTAGACCCTGCAGTTTCGAAACTTTTCAATTCGCTAAAAATCGCTGAGATCCGATCGGATGTGAAAATTTCGCTGGATATTGATAGTATGCTTATTCTGGAATTATTTTTTCAAAAATTCAATTTCGAATCGCCCGCCAGTAAATTACTCACCCTTGACCAGTAATCGCCGCAATTATTATTTTGGGATTGTGTTGTAAAGTGACAATTAGCGAGAATATGGCAACGATTACAATGAAAACAAAGACAATAGCTTCTTTCAGACCATACGCGTACATTGTGGAGTTGTCTGATCTGGAAGTGTTAGAATTGAAAAAAATCAAGGATAAGATTTTTAAATTCATATTTGAGAACCATTCAGAAATGCAAAATTTCAGAAAAAAAAACTCACAAATTCTTGTCTCCTCCTAAATTCGCCTGTGCCATAAAAACACCAATGACCAGTGTCGCCAGAGAAAAAAGTACAGTACCCAAAGAAATGGAAATTGCGGTTAGTGACTTCTCCACTTTTCTTGCCATCATATACACATTATTAACAGTTACAGCCAAAGTGATTGCTGATAAAATGACAGTTGCAAAGTAGACGAAACACCCAATTATCAAATTGATCACAAATTTTTCATCTGAGTTCGTGGGCGGAGTCTGGAGAACATGCTCCATTGAGACTTTGAAGAATAGATCGTAAATTGCATCGAACCAAAGGACAATGACTATTCCGTTGAAAAAGATGTGCAGGATTTGAGCAGGTTTTCGAAGAAATGAAGGAAATAACGGCCAGAAACCGAAAAATGAGGAGAGGATTTGAAAAAATGCTGGGATTACTGTAGATAGAGCATTTTGGATTGATAGAGTTCGGATTGCTTCAGAGGCAAGAGTGGAGTCGGAGACATCGGTTTTTGGGTGGGTCTGAAAAATAAATAAAAAATAATTTTAGGATATCAGAATCTCGGAATCTTTGAATCTTTTGATTTCAGAATATAGTATTTTAGAAATTTTGAATCTCAGAATCTCAGAATCGGAAAATTTTAGAACATCAAATATTCAGAATCCTAGATCTTTACTGGATGAACTAGTCAATGTATGAGTTCCTGGAAATTCGGAAAATTTGATATTTGGAAAAAATTCTAGATTTCGTCAATGCCGAATTTCTCAGAATTCCGAAGATCCCCGAATCTGAGACTATCGAGACATCTAAGAATTTAGAGATTTTAGAGATTTTAAATCTCAGAATCCCAAAGTGCCGTCAATCTGAAAAAAATTACCTCCCAATTCCTCCTGTCCGTCGAAAATGAGGTCACTAGAATCGCAATAGCTGCTAATAATTCCAGACAAGGCAGGATACAGTATAAGATCATCGCCGGTCGTCGGTAATCTCGTCGTTTCCTGAAAACTCGTATTTTGAAGGCTTGTCAATATAGCGCACTTTCAGTTCTCTGCTGTTTTGTGAATGTCTTAAATTTAGCATTATTTTGCATTGTTCTATCACGCTGTAGTTGTGTAACCGAGTTCCACGGATTCATTTTCTCATTGAAGCGCACTTTTCGCAAATTTTTTTTTTGATATGCGCTCTAACGATAATCATTATCACATGTTCTTTGTTTCCACTTCTCATTAGATCGCACTTTCCCCCTTTGTCAGCCACTAACTTTTTCTGATTCATCGCCATAATCGGTCGTGAACTATTGACAGAAGTGGGTGTCTGTGCGGCAGTAGGAGGCTCTTCCGACTCATCCAAAAACTTGAATTGGTCATAAATCTGCAACATGTATAAATACAAATATGGGCAAATTTGTACGCCGTATTTGCATAACGTGTCTGAATTGAATGCGTCATCGCTTTTTGGGGTCTTCTTACCGTTTCAAGCGCATTCTCTCCGAATGTATCAAATCGACGAGATGTTGGACGACTACTCTGAATATTGAGGAATCATTAGGGTAATTAAGAAAAAAGGAAGTAATCTTTGAAAAAAATTCAAATCCTATATTTTTAAAAGTTCTGTAGTTTTCAAGATTTTTTGAGAGTTTCGGAGACGGAAGGAATTCAAAACTTCTGATTCTCAATTTTTCATAACGTTCACCTCTCCCACAGAATTATTGTTTGGTCCTTTTTGGAACGTCTTAATCGGTTTGACACGTGGAATTGCTTGACCGATATAAGGGGGTGGAGCCGGCCGGTTGACTTGCTCAACTTCTTCTTTTCGTCGGATATATCGGATCTGAAAAACTCGGCTCATTTAAGATTTTGGGAATTTCATAAAGTCTGAAATTATTTGACCTACCGTATCAGAGGGTTCCATACTCGTGCGCATCATAATTTGAGGGTTTGGTGTACTCGAGTCGGGCGAGTATTTTCGATTTTTGGCTCTCTAATTGGCTCACTTCGTTGGTTTCATTTTTGATTGAAATATGGCTAGAAGATTTGGAAAATCAAGGTGGATTCTGGTAGAATACGTTCGATGATGCTGAAAAATATCAGAAGTTCAAAAACTAGCGATTTTCAAGGAAACCATTATTTTAGGAGAATTAAAAAAGCTCAAGAAATTGAGAAAAATATGTTTTTGAATCCTAAAGATTTCAAATTTAAAAAATTGGGAGATTCATAATTGAGCGAATTCCAAAGTTCCAAAGTTCTGAAATTGAGAAAGTGAGAAGTTCAAATGATCTCAGGAAATTCCAAAAAGTGGAAAAGCTCACAGAAGATTTGAAATTCTATAGCATTTGAGGCATCGTAAAACCTGTGTTAGAAGGGCCCTCTAATTGAAGTGCCCCCTAGAGACCCCACTAAAAGTAGAACGGCCCGCCCTTCTACTACAGGTTTTACGATAATTGTTTTTTAAACTAGAGAATCTGATATTCCAATAATTCCCCAACAGTCTTAAGTAGGAGGTCATGAAGTTTAAAATTTCAAAATCCCAGAGGATCGATATGTTCCGAAAAGCTCACAAGTGGAAGCTTGAAATTTTTAGAAAACCATTCTAATTACAGAAATAAAAAGTTTGGTTTCAAAAAAAAGTTTGATAGCTACTGGTCCGATATACCCATCGTACAGAGTTCTAGGAAAACTTCTAATAACCAAAAATTACAAAGAATTCCAATAGCACTATAAAAAACGAAACTAATCGGAAATGAAAACCGATATACATCATACATAGGTGTTCTTGTTGGGAGATTGTATGTCTTGTTTCTAAACAAGACAAAAAAGGTGTCTCCGACTGCTTATTCCCTTTCTCTCTCTCTCTCTCTCTCTCTCTCTCTCTCTATCTCTCTCCTGCTTTTTCTCCGATCGTGTAAATAGATCGGGTCTTCGAAATTCCGGACAACTGGGAAAAGAGAAATAGAGAGAAAGTGATCGAAAAGACAAATAGAAATATATATGGGAGGCGGTGGTCCTTTTATAGGAAGGAAGTGTGCTTCATCTCGAAAGTAGGTGCGACGGCCTGGGAGGATTAGGTGACAAGAACATTTTTGAGAGAAGAACACTTCAGAAACAAAGATTTAGTGAAAAAAAGTACGAGGAATGAGGTGTAGAATCTGCTGATAGGAAATAAGAAATTTCAGGAAAAAAGTAAGATTTCAGAACTTTGAAAACGTTCGGCTTCTTAAAACCTATTTAAAATCAATTCCCTGATTTTCAGCTTTCTCTCAAGTTCAAAGATGGATGAATAGATTTCTTAATAGATAATTTATTCAAAAATTTTCAGATTTTAAGCCTTCTAGTCCAAAAACTCGATTTTAAATGTTCAAGAACCAGGAACTGTGCGAGAAATAATTACGAAAGCTTAAAAATCAAAAAATTCAAAATTTTTAGGTACCGATTCTTTGTTAATTTAAAATTGCCTTATTGGTTTTTTTTGGAGGTTTCGAACTTTTAATTTCGAGAGTAATCCTAAAATTTCAAAATTTTGATTATCTAAATTTTCCAGGGTTTCCAGCTTTTTTACCACGAGGCTAGTTTTCTCGGGTTTCCAATAGGGAACCCCAAAGTATTAAAAAATCAGAAAGAGAAAAATTGTGAAATGCTATAATTTGATTTAAAGATTCTGGAATTACAGTGATTTATTTACGCTTTAGCGGTTTTTAGCTCTCAAAATTGATGAAAACCAAAATCACTATGCCAAAACTTTTAAAATCGCTTGTCCAAGAAATCTAGAAGATTGCGGCATCCCTTCTAAGCTACTCTACGTCTTCTTCTTGATTGTCTAATCGTGTCTCCTAGAAAGGAAAACTTTCAAAAAAAGAAAAAAAAGAATGAATCGACAGAAGAAAAAAAAATGTTGGTAAAAGTTATTGTAATAGTCATCGAAAACTAGATACAAGTTCACTACTTCTCTCTCGTTTTCCGCAACATTCAGCATCGGATTACGGTATTATTGGTGTCCTCAATTCCTCTGCCTTCTGCCTGGGTCTCTTATTCCTCCACACTCTCTCTCACTCCACACGATTTACATTTTACGCGATGCCCGATTATAACGCATTCTGAAGCAGAAAAATGAAAAGAGAGGATTCTCGTGGTGGTGGAAAAATAATGAATGGAAATCCCCCTGATTCAGAATTCGTGAGAAGAGACGCAAAAAGAAAAATAAATTGGCTGAAAATTGAAACCTGTCTTTTTTCTCTCGTTGGAATTTTTACATTGTTTGCAAAGAATGACAAGAAGTTTCTGGAAAAACTATGAAGGTAACAAAAATCACTGTGATTGATTTATTCAAATACTATTTTTTTTCGAGAAAAAAGATATCGAGACAAGCAGACAAACAGACATAAAATAAAATTCCCAACCTAATTGCATTCCTCTGAAATAAAAGTTTCTAGTCTCCAAATGTAATTATGTTGATAGGATAAAAATATAACTATGAATAGTTACAGCGGAAAACCCTCAAATTTCATCCAGGAACAATATTTTTGGTATCTCGAATTTAGGACCTCAAAAGCTAATTTTAAGTAATTTTCATAAAGCTGGTTTGGAAACATTTCGATTTTCAAATTCCGAGTTTATTCTTCAAAATATCAATTTCAAAATTTAAAATTTTGAATGTTTAATTTTGAGCTTTTCGAAATTTCAAAATTGTTTCCATTCATTCAATCACCTCTCTCTTTCTGCGTTTGTCCTTGGAGTTCTTGTTTTGAAAGTCCCAATTTTTCTATGTACGAAATTCATCAATTAAATTACAGCTCCTTTTATTTTTGAAAAATCAAATTCAAGGTCAGTTTTGAACGATAAGAATATCAACTTTCTACAGGAAATGACTTAATTTTCCTATCATCGGGAAACTAGTGTATCTTCTTCAGGAAAAAGTACAAGCAAAAAAACTAGGTCATTTCTCCGTTATCTCTCATGTTCCAAATCTGTCCCTATAAAAGTTGTCACCTTTTCGTCTTTGAATTCATTTTCTTCTCTGGCGTCGTGTTTTTTAGATGCCTTTTATTGATTTTTCTGATTCTTTTCCCTATTAGCTGTATTCTCTATTCTTAATCTTACTTGTCATGCCACTGAGCCATCAACATTGGTTGTTCCTAAAGAAACATCTCCAAAACTAGAATCGGGGAAATAGTCCAAGCAGCGACAGACAATCAACCATGGCGTCACTTTGAAAACTGAAGAAAATTGCAGATCATTGATAAGGAAGCCAAAGGAACAAATGGAGAAGCTTCCATTTGCTGTGTCTTTTATTAATTGCTACCAAATTAAACTACTGTCTCTCAAACTACACTGAACCCGATTCAAGTAGCCGCCTAAGCAAGGAATTGGGGCTACATTAAAAAAAACCAAACGTAGGTTAAAAATCGACCGAACTTGTTACGTTAGAAAAGTTCGCCAAAAAGTTGGCCGTGCCTTGACTATAGAGCTAGCTGGGTCATTGTGGTATCCCCAACACCGGCCCAGTACGTAATTTCCCAATGAATCACCATAAAAACGAAGCAAAAACCTTCACCAAAAAACTTGCAGAGTACCAACAACAGTTGGACAAGGGACTGAACATCCTCTATTCGGTCCAGTCAGGCAACTTGATAACAACAAAAGCGCAGCAAGAAGCTGGAAAAATCGATGTCGAGGATGAAAAATGTCGCGATCAGTGATCTGCGACTAAAGAAGTGAACTGCGTAACACAAGGACATCTGCATCGGGAGACGGAAGCGCGCACCTGCGGAAAAGATAAGCTAATGAAAAGAGCGACAACATTAGTAGATACAATGATTACAGAACTCAGTATGACACGACCGTACAAACTTTCGGAAACATCCCAACAGGCAACATTATTGCTCAATCAGCCAAGGAGATGATAGAGAAGATGTATCAAGAAGACAAGAAGGTAAAGACTGCTCTCGAAAATCTCCAGACAAAACTTGTTAAAAGACACACTCAATTAAATGAAATTGCAGAAAAAGAAAAGATAACCAAAATGGGTGAAGAAAAATACAAAATCATCCCGCAACAAAAGAAGACACCACTCAGAATCGGGACAGTTCTTACAACACCACTCTCAACACTAAGAATTTAGTCAGTAGTAACCATATGGAATTTCCAGGCCAGCATTTTATATGCCCTTCAAGAAAATCGTGGCAGACGTAGTAGGGGTAAGAAGACGTTATTAAACATAACATACTGAGACAGCACCTAAGAGGCGCACCTTATGACTTAGTTAAACCATACAAAACAGACGGTACTGAGTTTAAGACCGCATTAGTGAGACTAGTCAAAATGTATGACTCCGCGGAGAAGCAACACGCTTATCTGTGGAATAAATTGATGAACATACCTAAGGAAAAGGAAAGTGCTTCTTCTAAATCTCCCGTTTTCGTTATCTCCCAGAGTTATCTTCCAGAGCTACCTACCGTCATTATCTTCCATTGTCTTCGGAAACAGTCTTCTGTCATTTCCCGTTCTCCCCTTCCCTTTTATTTGTATTTTTATTCTTTTATTTGACACAAACTATATTATTCAATAAACATATCTATTCAAACCACTGAACCACCTCGTCTTAACTACCAAATAAAGAGCTGCCTATTAGTGGCCTTTATAAAAAAAAATAAGAAAAGAGGTTAGTGAACTATAAAAATTTCCAACTTAAAATTAGGCTTCTTCAAATTAAACAATTTCAGGAGCGGAGCAAATACAAAAATTGGAGAAGTCCACACTACGGACCACAGCCAACATGGTCAACATAAAACCGACTCAAAATCAAGTAAGTTCCCCAGTATTCGTTGAGCATAGATCGCGTTTAATGATTACAAATTCCACTACTAAAAATCAAAAAATTTGCAGACCCAAAAACATATGCACTGCGCACTACGAAGTTCTCTTCTCCCGCTCAATTTGCCACAATGTATATCGTCTGAATAAAAAGTTGTTTTTATAATCACTATCACCATACCTATTTTCATCTTGTTCCAATATTCAATAAATCTTCATTGTAACTCTGAACCGCTTATTGCCCACCACATCAAATCAAAAGACCTAGTAACGTCTAGAGCTTATAACTCGGCCGAAAGCAAAAAATTGGAATAATTTGGAAACTTTTGAAGACAGGTCAGATGTGCTCTAATCACCAAGGCGCGAATTCAAGCTGTAAATTCGTGAAGTCAGAATTCTAGGTTTTTTTTTCTCATTTTCCCACTTTCAAAAAATAATTCCAAGACTATAAAGAAAGTGTCTGAAAATCCATTTGATTTCCTTTTCGAATTTCAATTCCAAAGCCCATATCAGATTTAAAAAAGCTTCTATCTATCGACGCCATCGCCATTTTCAACATTTTCAATGTGTTTCTATTTTTTCAAAAAGTAATTAGTGCTTTTCCATTTTTCGTTATTCTTTAAGAGTAGTATGTCTACTATGTATACTAGTCTTCCTGTCTTTTTCTATCTCTAATTAGTGTCATTTTACATGTTTTTTCTAGTGCCCTTCGACCACCCATTTCCTTTTTAGCTATTACGTATTTCTGAATATTTGATGAGCAAGGGTTTGGATTTTGAAGTTCGGACTCCGAATATTCAATGTTTGAATAGGATTTATTTTGATTTTCTGAAAATTTTCGAAATACACAATTTCTGGGATTTCTGAATTTATTAGGTCAGTAAAATTTATTGAATTTGGTAGCTTTCGAGTTTTATTAACTGAGACTTTCTGAATTTCTTAAAATCCCTCCAACTCGTTTTCAGAAAACTTCCAAATTGAATTTTTTCCAATTTCTAGCAATTTTATTTGAAATTCTCAAACAAAACCAATTGTCGTCATGCAATGTCTTTCAAGACAACTTCATCTGAAATTCTCAGAAAATTGTATTTTCTTCTCAATTCCAGAGTCAGAAATTCCTCTTTCATGTCTAGCCCCAAAAATCCTTTTCCTCTCTTTTTTCCTTTTTTTCGAAAATCCAATTGGTGAAAAGAAGTGAAAAAAGAGAGAGTGTGCATCTCCTCCGGGCCATCCGTACATATATTTGTATCCCAAAAAAGTATTTCTTTTTTTGGGGGAAAAAAGAAACTACCAGATGGACAAGACAAGACATCCCACCACCAATTCGTGTCTTTTGGATAACTGAATTTTTGGGATTTTGGATGGAAGTTTTGGTTCCTTTTGGTCCATTTGGTTGGTTTCAAAACGTTAGGGTATTCAAATTTTTATTTATTTTGTTTTGGTTAATTTTTTTATAATTTCACGATTTATGATTTTCTTCTTTTCCTACAACTTTTAGGTCTCTAGACACGCACTTTTTTATTATGTCCCCTGAATTTTTGAATTTCCCTCTCGTTTATTTTTCATGAGCTCATACTCATGGCATTTCGAAAGACCTGGTACTTATATTTTTATTTCGAACAACACATTTTTTGAATCATCAGAATTAAAAAAGTTTCAGAAAACTTGATAAAAACTAATTTTCTGATTTCCCTCTGATTCGTTTCATTTTCCAAAAGTCTTCTTGAAAATATTTTTATTCAGAAAAAAATTTTTTCACATCATCAAGAAAAAAATTTTCCCACACTTGTAATCTATTCTGTTGACTCCACTTCTTCACATATTTTTACTTTTTTCGTTGAAAATTTTTATTGTTTTTTTGAGAATTCCCTATAAGGATTTATCGTAAAACCTGTATTAGAAGGGTCGGTCCTTCTATTACAGGGGCCCTTCAATTAGAGAGGGCCTTTCTATTTTTACGGCCAGTTTGTTTCCCGAAAGAAAAATTCGACGAAGTTTCGTTCAAAATTCACGAAAATTTGCCAATTTCACTGAAACTTAGCAAGATTTTAATCGAAAAATAGAGTTTCAACAAATTTCTATTAAATTCTAGAGTTCGCGGAATATTTTCCACTGAAAAAGTACGGAAATTTTCTGATTTAAAAATACATTTTGAAGGGGGGGGGGTCTTTTTTAACAGAGGGCCCTTCTATTAAAGGGGCCCTTCTAATACAGGTTTTACGGTAATACATTTTTCTCAAAAACTTTCATTCAAAGCTCTCTGAAATTTCAAGAATTAAATTTGAAATTCTGAAGTATGTTTCAAAACAGTGGAACTCAATTTTCTAGGTTTCAAGACTAAAATTTCAAAAGAATATATCCTTTTTCATCTCTCAAAATCAAAAATTCCGTACTCTCTTCCCTCTTTTTGGGCCTAGAAAACGTAAAAATCTGCATTTCGGAATATCTTCTTCGTTTTTCGGGGAGGATGGACCCCTTTTTTCTCTGACAATCCTTCCCCATCTTCTTCCCCTTTTTTTCTTTCTTTTCTTCAGAATTCGTGCTCCGTGAGCTTCTTTTGGTTTCCCCGGGGAACACGAGAAGAAGAAGAAGGAATTGGAGAAGAAGAAGACTCTTCCTCTTTTTTCCCGTTATTTTTTGATTCCTATTGTCTCCTCTTTTCACTAGATCTTATATTATTTTATTATAGCTTTGTTTTTTTTTGAAAAAATCAAAATTTTGACTACAAAAAAGTACGTTTTCTGTTCTCTTCCAGATCTCCCAATCCACAACTTGGCCCCGCCCCTTTCAGAAAATCATGGGACAGCAGTAAGAAGATGAGATACGTGGCAATTTTCCTCTGTTTCCTAGTGACTACAGTAGGAACACTACTCAGGAGTCTGGATGATGATAGTCACGAATGGTAAGAATTTTAGAATCTTATATTTTTAGAATTTCAAACATTCAGATTTTTAGAATTTTCAAAATCTTAAAACCTCAGATTCCTAGAATACCGTAATTTTTCTTCTATTCCAGCTTGTTCAATTGTCCAAAAAGAGCGCGAAATGTCAGTATACCAAAAACAGAAAAGGCTTGTATGGGAGACGACGCAATTATAGGTTTGTATTTTTTTTTAATTCTCTTTTTTCTGGCTGGCAAGATAATTATTGGATACATTTTCTCTTCAAAACGTCAAAGCGAAAAAATTGAAATTTGAAATTTTTCAGCTCAAATTCTGGATGGGTACAACAAGCTGGATCTTCCGGGTGGTGGACATGTTGAAGTTTCGATTGAGGTGATTATTCTGAATGTTTTTGGATGGATCCATGAAATTTGGAGAAGAGAAGAAACATTGAAATTTGAAAAAAGTTCCCTAGAAGTTCAGAAAAATCGGGAGTTCTCGAGATTTTTTTCGAGATTTTTTAGAAATCTTTTTTCGAGATTTTTTTAAAGAAAATGGTCGAGATTTTTTCAGAAATCCTGAAATTTGAAGATCTGTTAAAAAATTTCAGATCTGGGTCCAAGAAGTCTCAAAAATCATCGAAATCACATCAGAATTTGAATTGGACATCTACGTAACCGAACGATGGACGGATCCATCATTAGCCTACGCTCATCTGAATCCGTGTAAAAGGTACTGTAATCCTGGAAACTTTTTTTCTAGTTTTCGATTTCAGCAACATGTCCGTCGACGGAGCAACAATTCTGAACAAAATCTGGAATCCACATGCATGTTTTGTGAATAGCAAGCTGGCGAACATTCACGAGTCTCCATTCAAGAATATATTCTTACAAATCTACAGTAATGGGTCCATTTGGCACAACTACCGTATCAAGTTGACAGGACCGTGTTCTAGTACATTAAGGTGAGTATTCAGGATCAAAATGCTTCACTAGTACGTAGCCTTTGAGTTCAATTATCTCAATTTCTGTGAAAGTTCTCAAAAATCTGCAAACTATACATGTGTTGGCTATACTATGTATTACAAACATTCTATCAGGTGACAGATTTTTTGTATACTGAAAACGAACCTTGTGAGATAATTGCTTACAATTAAAATTAACCAAAATCACAAATTCGAAAAACAAGTTTCCAGAACGTTCCCAATTGACCAACAACGATGCATGCTGTTCTACGAGAGTTTCACACATAACAGTGATCAAGTGAAAATGGATTGGATAACGACAGTACCCCCGATTACAATCCTCAAAGGAAACATCACATTACCCGATTATGTTTTGGTAGATTTCTCGGCCAGCAGTGAACTTCGGGTAAGGATTATGGTAGTTTTCCTATGGGTTACTGTACCTGAACATCTGAGTATAGGAAAGCTACTCATTACTTTTTATGTAGCAGTAGGATCCTCTTTACTGTAGCTTACTGCAGGTTAATGTAGCTATGATGAATCTGCTCATCTTACAAAATACTACAGTGCGCGTCATGATAGGACCCCCTCCCAAATGAGTGTCCCGGAAAAACCGAAAATGATAGAAAAAATCTATAAACGCAGTTCGATTCAGCATGTAAAAAAACCTATGTGTACCAATTTTCAGACTAATTGAGCCATTTTCAAGCTCACAGGGCTCAAAAGTCACTTTTTAGGCCGCGTCATAATGATAGGACACCTCCCCCCCCCCCTGAAAAATGAAAAATGCCAAGATTTTTAGGGAAAAAAGTTGAAATTTTTTCTTAAAACAGCCTATTTCGACCGTTTACACAATTATTGATACCTCTATTCAAGTTTCAGAAAAATATATTTTCAGACATTTTCGTGATTTTTTGGGTTTTTGGAATAAATCGTGCATAACTTTGCTCCTGTGTAAAATTTTCGCTGAAATTTATAGAATACATCTTTACTATGCACATAATCATAATGTAAATGTTCAACCCATTGCTGAACTTTGGTTGCTCAAAATTGAGCTCGAGCTTTGAACTGAAAAAAGTACGACCATTTGAAAAATTTTCAAAGCTGTAAAAAATGTTTGACAGACATTCTGAGTCTTCACAATTGTTGTTAAAGTTAGTAACTTGAATGGAAAAATAATTTTTACGTAAAATTAAGTTTTTCACAAAAATTAGAATTACCGAATTTGCAGGTCAGTTTTGGAAATTTCGGTCTTGCTTAAATTACAACTAACGGCTCAGAACAGCACGAGAACAATTAGTTAACAATTCAGAGCACAGCTGTAGCATTTCCTAAAAATTTCAGCAAAAAATTTTACCCAGGAGCAAGGTATGCACGATTTATTCCGAAAACCCAAAAAATCACGAAAATGTCTGAAAATATATTTTTCTGATACTTGAATAGAGGTATCAATAATTGTGTAAACGGTCTAAATAGGCTGTTTTCAGATTGTTAAAACAAATTAAAACAAAAAATTCCAACTTTTTTCCCTAAAAATTCTGACATTTTTCATTTTCCAGGGGGTCCTATCATTATGACGCGGCCTAAAAAGTGAATTTTGAGCCCTGTGAGCTTGAAAATGGCTCAATTAGTCTGAAAGTTTGTACACATAGGTTTTTTCACATGTTGAATCGAACTGCCTTCCCAGATTTTTTCTATCATTTTTGGTTTTTCCGGAACACTCATTTGGGAGAGGGGTCCTATCATTATGACGCGCACTGTACCGTACTTTCAGCTCTACCCTCCTGGAATCTTCAACGAATTGATCGCCACATTTACATTCCAACGATTATATGGATTTTATATTTTACAAGTTTATGTACCAGCCTACATTTCTGTATTTATTTCATGGGTTTCTTTTACACTGGGTGCCGAACAAATACCATCAAGGACTACTGTTGGTGTCAATTCGCTTCTGGCGTTGACGTAAGTTTTTTTCTACAATTTTCGGACTAGTGGGAAATTTGACAATTCGAAAAACTGTAAACACACTATCTGCATATAATCTCAATTATCTCGGTAGTCATAAGTGATATCAATGTTGTTATAAAAATGCTCTTAATTCAATTTTAAGGTAAAAGTCAAAAATTCAGACCGGAATATCTCCTCAGCGACAGTAGACTGAAGGTTATTATGGAAAAAAAATCTTTCATATGAAAAGTTTTTCATGATAAAATTTATTGAAAAATTGAATTTCACTACTAAAAACTAATATTCCAGATTCCAATTCGGTGCTGTCGTCAACAATTTACCAAAAACTTCCGATGTCAAAGCCATCGATGTTTGGATTTTGAGTTCTATGGCCTTTATTTTTGCCTCTTTAATCGAACTGGCTGTGGTCGGGTACTTATCAAGAGACGGGCAGCACGGATCTATAAAGTTTGTCTGAAACCTCGTGTAGTTTGTAGTCTACAGTAATCTTTTTTTGCAGATTCTCTAGATGCCGCTGCTCCTGGCTTTGTATGAATTGTAAAGATTGGACGGCACTGAAAATCGATCAGGTTGGTTTTTTTTGTTTAGACTTTCAACATTTCCATATTTCCAGATGTCCTCTATCGTGTTTCCAGTCAGTTTCTTTGCATTCAATATCTGGTACTGGTTCATTTTTCTCGGGTAAGAAAATTTAACATTTTGGAAAGTCTTCAATGTTTCAGACGCCTTCTTTCCTTTAGAAAATGTCCTGTCATGGCATGTTATGTTTCAAAAAATATTTAATTTTCGAAAAAAAACTGTTTGAAAGTTTTTTTTCCAAAAACCTTTTACAGTTTTCTTTTCTCCAAAAATGTGTCGGACGATGGGATTTCGAAATGAAATCGCTGGAATAAATGAGCATGTGTAGATGAAGATTTCCGGAACAAAAAAGAGTATGAAAAGCTGAAACTTTCTGTTCTTGGGGACTCTTTTTTTGGTTTTTTCAAATTTCTCAGTTTCGCGCTTCTTTCACATTTTGGTTCAAATTTATGTGTTTCTGTTGGGGAACAAGTGTCTATTGCATTAAAGTACTATTTTTGTGAAATTAAAAAAAAATAGAAATTTAGAATTTCAGAAAAAAATCGAGACATTCCAGAAGATTAATTTCGACTTAAATTAATATAGCGTAAACACTCGTATAGAACGCCACCCAAACCGTCAAGATTGAGCCAATGTACCTCATTTTCTGTGAATGATATCAAAAAGTTGTCAACTGGCCTTGTATTAAAGTTTACTGTAATTTCACAATAAGGGCTCTACTGATAATTGAAAAAGAGTGGTAGTTTAAAATTTCAATTTAGCTTATATCATAGAATTCAGAAATTGAAACATTTTTAATTAAAAAAAATCTCGAAAAACAAAATTTCCAGCTTTTTCAATTTTTCAGCAAACTGTTGGTTAGAACGATCTGAAAAGTGTCCTTTGTCCTGCCACTTCTACTGTGTTGTGTCTACTTCTATGTGTCCTCTCTGTCCTCAATACTATTTCTTCTTCTTCTTCTATCGCTTATTAAATGCCACACAACCACACACAAAAAGCCAAGTCGTCACAATTCACACCCGCACCGCTTCTTCTATGTGTTCTCTGCTTCTTCGGGCAAGGCTTTACACCCCTTTTTTTATTTTCAAATATACTCAAAACAACTTTTGTCAAGTGCGCTCTACTAAACTATTCGCCAGCTTTCACGGTGAGTTTTTCACTACCGCTGCAGCGCGCTGCTTTCAACTTTGGAATTTTTTTTGCTCGAATTCTAGCCCAAGGATTTTTTTTTTCGGTCCATAAATTTTTTGTAAATTTCATGAAGAATATATAGTAAAAAAATGAATCAGATTTTTTTTGTCCTTTTTACTTTAAAACGTCGCAGACACTGTTTCGCATTTCGGTAGTGAAAAACTCACCGTGAGCTTTTGATGAAGTTACGGTAGAGCGCACTTTTTGAACAAATTTCGTGAAAGAATTTAAGAAAAAAAACTTCAGATCAAGGTTAACCAACATCCTAAGTTCCAGCTTTTTTCTAAAGCTGCAATTTTGCCCTATTGGACTATGTTCAGTCGGGCAAACTTGCAAAAAAGCTTTCAATTTTCGTTTTTCATTGACCTAATATTTGTAATTTTCAGGAAAGTCACACGGACTCACAATTGGTGAAAACAAGTGTTTTCTGTTTAATTTATTTGTAGATTTAAATTTTGGTTTTTTAAAATCAATAAAACTTTTTTGATATTTGTAACTTTGTCGCTGAAAGATTTTGAGAAAGAGAGAGAGAGAGAGAAACGGGTTTTTAGGTTTTTATCTTCGCCTTTAATGTTGAAGCGATTTAAGGATCACCATTGGCTTGAAAAAATGTTTTTCCGATCCAAGGTTTCATTTCACATGAAATTCACAGGCAACGCAAATCAAATAACAAAAAATAGATCAAAAATAAACAAATAATAATTTGATATAATTGGAGAATCATCACTATTGTTCACCTTCTTGATTCTGACGATTACGCTTGTTGGCTGGCTCATCTGGCATGTTTGATCTTGCTGAAAATTGGAAACATTAGAATTTCGAAAATCCGAAATTTCAAATTTTCTATGTTTCAGAACTTTTTCAGAATTCAGAACTTCCGAAAGAAAATTATCATACCTGCTCCTCTCTTTTTACTAGGGCTCGGCTCTTCGGATCCCCTAATCTCCTGCTCTCCACTTCCTCCTTCGCATGGCGCCTTCTCGGTTGTCGAATCCTCGGCCACGTCCCTCGGATGCTTAAGCGCCGCAGACGAAGCTGGCCTATCAGCAATTCCGGCTTCGGAAACAGCATGATCAATGACACTGGCCTCGAACAAAGCACCCTCCATAATGCTGGCCGAGTACGCCGTGGCCATAATATCTACAGTATCTCGATTTCCTTGTGGTCCTGGTTCTGGATTATTATCCTCAACTTCAGTATCACTTTCTTGAGCTGGTGCATTTGGCGACAAATTTGGTGGCGGGGTATAAGGTACCGACTGGGAGATACTCGAGGTGTTCGATGATAAAGTAGGAGGAAGAGTAGCTGCTTGGCTGACAGTAGAGGATCCGCTGCTCATGTGTTGGTCTTCCTGTTGGGAAGCTTGTCCTTGTCTTTGTTGAGCAGGTTGCTCTTGCTGTGCAGCCCCTTGACCGGACGACGATCCTTGCCCGGCGCTGCTGGAAGCTTCTTGACTTGTTCCTTGACTAGATTCACCTTCCTGGTTGGTGGTGGATTCTTGGCCAGTCGATGAAGATTCTCCTTGCCCTCCACTTGCCGGAGACGTGCCCTTCTCATCGGAATCCGTCTGTTGGGCAGCTGGTCTTGAGCCTGAAGCTTTTGATGCTTTTGGTGTCTCTTGCTGCTCCGTGGGCAGTTTTCCCATTTTACGTTCAGCTGGTCCTCCATAATTCGGGTCGTCCTGAAACTGGAATGAGACAATTTACTAACAAGTAATAAAGAATCAAAATTGAAAGATGTGGAAATCAAAAATGACATTTTTCAGTTTCAAAATAAAAAAAGCTCACCAATCTCTCAGCCAACGCATCATTCAATTGCTCATGAAATCGTTCAGCCAGGTCATCATTCGGATCATCATCCTCATTTTGGAGCCAAAATGCCAGACAACTCTTAATTCCCATATCCAAGTTTTTGACAATAAAAGTCTTTCCATCGTCATTTTTAACTTTTTTGAATGTCACTTCGTGTGGAAACACAAAATCATCCTTCTTAATTGTTCCAGTCAACCGACTAGCCCATCTCAAGCGTGGCACATTGTCGCGATCCAGAATCAGGTACAGTACTCCTTTTTCGGGCTGAGCAATCACTTTTCGAATGTTCGGATCGGCGGATCCGTCGATGGGACTCAGTTTGCAACGACCCATTCTTGCACTAATCAACATATCTTTGACATTATCGACTTTCAGAGAGACATCTGGTGGTTGGAAGTTGAACATTTTCAACATATTGTCTGGAAAGAATAGAATTGGAATTTCAGAATTATACAGTTTCGAAAAAATGAGAGGACTTTAGAGAAAACTAAGTTTTTGGCACTTTTAGGTTCAAAGTTCAGAATCAATAAGAGTCTTTTTTCCCGCGGAATCTTTCAAAAACAACAAGTACAATTTTTGATCTACCAAATTGTTGATCTACTAAATGATAGTTATTTAGAAGTTTGAAAACTTTTTCTGCAGCCAAATTCAAGGTTTAATGTTTTGTCAAAGATGCGGAACTCCAATCGCACTTTTTTCCCACTAATTTCCTCCGAAACAACAAGAAGATTTTTGATCTATTTTTGAATAATTAGAATTATTCGAAAACTTTGGCTATGGAAATCATTATGCTTACGAACTAAAATTTGTACTGGTTAGACAGACATTCGTTTGCTCAGTAAATAGAAAGGGAAAAAGGTTTTTAGAGAAAACAAATCTCGAACTTTGATATGAATCAGATCAGGTGAAGGAGAGAATACAATGAATGTATTTATAGTAATAAAATTGAGACGGAACTGATTGTGAGAACTGAATAACTTTGACTCCCGGCATTATTCCATTTCAGGAGATCACACATATTTCTATTGACTACGGAGCACAAATGAAGATGTAGTATTTTGAAAATACCAGATTTTCGAATTCATAGAAAATCCATAAAGACATGAAATTTCTGACTCTTAAAAGTCAGACTTTCTCAATTCATTCGAAATCTATTTTCAAAATATTGACGTCAATCTTTTTTCTCTATGAACTTTCACCTAAAACCTTTTTCTCGGATTTTCTAGAACACCAACACTCACTACGTGTCACCTCGGCTCTCCTCGAGTAGCTCAAAAGTTCACATCCTTCTCCATTAAGAGAAAATGGTCCAATCAAAGGCAGGAATCCTTGGAGCAGTTGCTCATCAAGTTCAAAAAAGGAAGACCGGTCCAGATCCGCCGAAAAAGTCCAACCGTCCACAAGCAACCAAAAAACAATCAAAAAAAAATGAAAAAGTGGAAACGAGATCGCAGACTAGGAAAAACAATGAGCTGTTCTTGTTGCAGAAGGAGATGGAGGTGATTTTTTAGGTCTCTGAAATAGGTTTTTCAAAAATGTAGAACTTAAATTTTGTACTTTTCGGTTGTCCCAATAGAAATACCGTAAACACTCTAAAAGAAACTTTTTTGAAATTTTCATCTCAAGATTTTCCAGAAAGGCACCAATGTCGAAAACATGACTATTGGGAAATGGGATAAAAAATTGACAAAGATGGAAACAGACGAGAAGTCGGACGAGGAACCTTCGGATGAACACAAGGAACCAGGCGATTTGAAAACGAAAGAGGCGAAAGCAAACGAGCCGATTACCGATAAGAAGAAGCTTAAAAAGTACAAAGTAGACCGAGAGGATTACATGTTACAGATGGCTACAGCTGATGAAGAACCACTGTATTTTGAGGAATATCAACCTCGAAACTATGACTGTTTTCTCGAAGTTCCCATTGTCAAATGGGCGAACATGGGTTGGTGAAAAATAGGAAACAATCATTTGGGTCCAAAAGTTTGAATTTTGAAAATTAATTTTTTTATCTAAATATAATTTTTCAACAGTAAAAATTTTTCCTTGCAGTACCCGACACATTCAAACGTCTTCTGAAATACACAAATGAAGTTCTTCAAAATCATACGCCACCGAATACGTATCACCTCCCTTCACCGCTTCTGAAATCTAAAAGTTTTCGGCATACTGTGCCCTACACGAACTTCTGTTTCAGTCCGTTACAGGCTATGCGCGCATGGGCATTACTGTATAGTATTGCTCAGAATAAAACGGCTAAAGAGTTGAAGACGTTTGTTGAGGAATGTGAGTTTTCTTAATGTTAAGTTTTGGGATGAAACCGAGAGCCGGAACGTTTAGCACAAAAAATAGAATTGCCACGAATGACAGTTGTAGACCTAATCAGTTTCCGATTCTAAAATTCAAATTGTTGGATCCACTCGCTCAACTCCAAACCTGCCAACCTGGAAATTTTCAGACACCAGAGAATCTTCCACAACTCCGGAAGATTTCCATCAACAGCTTCTTTCTCTTCATCGTGACGCTGAATATCAGTTTGAAGGATGCGTCAGATTGTTCACAGAAATGCCACGTCATCTACCTCACAACGTAAAGCTGCGTCGTGAGACAAATGTTCTTTATGGTGGTCGTAGTAGACGGGCCAGTATTCAACATCACAGTTTTGCCACGGATTCGGATGGATTCTATTCTTGTTACCGTATTAATGAAGAGATCGCTGTGAGTGAAACTGATTTTTTTCTATTTCTCTTATAATTTTAACAGCTCATGACCTACCTCCCCCTTCAAGCCTAGTTCCAGTCCCTATCCTAACTATAAGCTGAAAATTTCAGCGTTCCACGCGCGGCTTGGTTCGTTACGTGGTTCCAGAGAATTGTGCTCCAAACTGGAGAGCATCCATCGCGTTGGCATCTGCTCAGGACTGCACCTTCTATTGGAAAGTTACAGATTCAGAAGAGTCGTCGAGTTATCGATTCAATGGTGGATCAACTATTCCGAATTCGAAATGTTCGGTTTTATCTGGAAAAGCGAACGTTTGGATAAAGAAAGCGGCAAGCGGACAGGATGTTTACAAATTGGAAAGTCATGTTCCGAATGTTCAGTTGTTCATTTTTATGTGAGTTCACTGAATCTTTAAATAATTTTTATCTAATTGATGTTCCAAAATTTTGAATACTTAAAAAATGAGATTCTATATTTCAGGGAGGACCTCTCACAAGCGTCTAAACCCAAAGCTCTACCATCTGACATTTTTTCCATTGTATCGTCTTTGGATGATTCCTGGATCCTCAAACCAGATCAACACATTTCCATTCCAAAATGCACAACTTCCACACCAATTTCTCTCTACGATCATGCCAAAAAAAATGGGCTATCTCGACTTTTCTCCAGTGAAAAATCAGAATTACGTCAGCTGAAGGCGTCGCAATTAGATTATTCTGGATCTCCGCAATTCCAGACACTTTTCGACCACTATCACAAAACGGTGTTTCAAATTTGTCCCCATCCCCCGAATAATGAAATTCGCAGACGATTCGATCATTTGGCACCAGAAAAAGCACACCAGTGTATTGAGGAATCGGCGGCAAAGCTGTTTGCCAGCTATCAGGTTGGAGCGGGTGAGTTCAAATGATTGGAAATGCTCCAAGTTCAGAAGAAAAATACTTGAAGACTTCAAATTGTTTGAGACTGTGTAAAAAAAGTTTCAGTTGATAATCATGACGTCTTCTTCACCTATCATGAGGACCATCTCGATCAATCGACGGGACCACTTTTATTATTCCCAGGCAATTTTGAATACGACAAGGCGCAGTGTACGGTATTCCTGAAATTATAGTATTTTGATTCCTGTATTCCAAATCAGGATTACTGTAGCTTGCTTATTGTAGTTCGAAACACACAAAATATATAAATTTTAGTTTGCGACCTGGATATTGCAAAACCATTCTACTACGTCATGACTCGTCAATTTGCAGGAGCCCCAATGATTGTTTGTGCTGGGTATTTTGTAAGAATTTCGGAATTTTAGATTTTTGAAAAAAAAAACAGTTTGAAACTTTCAGAACAACACAATTTGGGCTTTGTGATCACAAAAATTCATCATAGAAGTACTCGAGAAAAAAATGAATCGATCGGAATTGTGAACTAAAAAGTGCCTAATGAATTTTTTACAGTTTTTATTATGTACCTTTTCAGAAAAATACTGACAAAAGACCCCAATCAAATACGGCATTTTGCCTTTAGTCATAGCTTCACTCCAAGCGAGTACTCCTTGATAGATGGTCCCTTTGAATTTCACTTTCTCCACCAAATAGTTAGAATCTTTTTCGATCAATCTCTCATCATTCAAACAGTCAGCCATCCAATGTTCTTTCACTATAATCACTCCATTGAAAATCCAGATCAAGTTTTCCAATCGATCAGTTTCCCAGACACCATCCTTATCAGTTTTCACCACAAAATGCGTAGTGGTTGCCATTGGCTCATCTGAAGTTATCGATTGAAACTGATCCATAAACTTGTTGGTTAAATCGTTATCCGTTCGGTCTTCCATTTAAATATGAAAGGGGTTGATGGAAATTTCTGGGGCACACTGATCCGGTACTTTGATTTACTGTACTTTTTGTAAATTTGATCGATTCTTGAGAACTCGGCGGCTTTGTCGCTGTTTTGATATTTGGTTGGAATCATTTGTTGATCCGTTTTATTCTCTGTATTCAGAAGAGATCTGTCGGCTCCGGATTAGGATTAGGAGCTCGACAAGTTCAGGGTAGGCTAGTTTAGTGGCCAAGTGAAGTGGAGCGTTGCCAAATTCTGGAAAAAAAAAACTTAACAATTCTGCAGAGATTGTTTCAGTTCTACATTTTGCAGTTCAAATTTTTTGAAAATTTTCAGTTTGAAGCAAGTTATCATCTAGAAATGTATATAGGCTCCAAACAAAGTCAGAAAGTTCTCCAGTTCCTTGATTTTCAAACTCACTGTTCACATTCACATATGCTCCATTTTTGAGGACCAACAACAAGTTAGTGCGATTCACTTCCCGGACAGCGTCTTGAATTGAATTTTTCATGTTAGTCTGGTCCATGAATAGCTGAAAAATACCGTTGAAAATCTTGAACTTTGTATAATCCAGGTTGAAACTCACCAAGTATCTCCATCTTTTCTCAAAATCTTGAGGTTTTCCAAAATAATACAACCACCAGTTCGTATAGGTTTTCTTGCCGTTTTTCGTCAATCAAAATGCCACAACCGTTGCCAGGAGAATCACAAAAACTATCCCAATGCAAATCCCAATAATCATGGCCAGAGAAGCAGTTTCGACATGCTTTTCGATGGTTACAGTTTTGGGTTTTGAGTGTCCGAAAATTTCATCAAAGTACTGTACCAGAGATAGAACAATCGTTCTGGAAGTTCTCAAACGCGTCTGGTGGTTGGAAAATTCAAAATCGACACCCAGTGAAACAACATCCGAAAAGTAGTTCATAGACGCATTTTTGTCCTTGAGATGAGATTCTTTGAGGGCGACTAAAAAATGGAAACTATTTTGAAGTTTTTAATACGTAGGGTCCTAACTATGAGTCAATTTGTCTCGCTTTTTGTGAAAGTAATCAAAAAGTGGTTCACTAGCAAAATATAAAAAATATGCATATCAAAAATATTTTGACAGCTGAAGATCTTTTGATATTTTTGACAGGACTCAAGAAGAATTGACTCAAGCGTTCAGTGTCTTTTTTTTTTGAAAACTCACTAGAAAACTGATTCAGAGATGTCCAACTTCCAGAAATTCCCGTTATATCGGCAGCTTCTTCAAATATCTTTGTCATTTCCAAAACACTTTCGCTTCGAACTTTCCCAGAAATTCTTTCTAGTTTCTCTATTTTCCCCAGCATTTCCTTCAATTGTATCGATGGATCCGCCCACTGCGCCAACCCTGCTCTGTAGATCAAAAATTTTATCTCTTCCGGAAACTGTGGAATATTCGTTAAAAGACTTCGATTCTGACGTATTCTTTCAGCATCTTCTAGGATTCTGACATTTGCTCCGATGTCCTGGGATAGCGTTTTGGCTTCTTTGAGTGATAGAATTAGATTTTTAGAATCTTTGGAGTAGGCAGAGTTGGAAATTTGATTGATGCTCTTCTCAACTGGAGCCAGTTGAGTTTTTACCTGAAAAATGACGAAATTCAGAATTCTACAGAATCGCACAATTTCAATTTCAAAAATTCACCTTTTCCAATGAATCCAACCTTGATTCATTTTGTCTATAAGAGATTTCCCAGGTAGGCCAAGCATAGTTTCAAGAAGATTTAACTTTTTGATCATGTTCGATGCATTTAAATTTTTCTTTCTGGAATTTTGTCAGTCTATTTGAGTGATACGTTATTTGGCATTTTTCAGTCCAAAAACTCACTTCAGACAATTTGCAATATTAACTAGGTCCATTTCTTCAATTAATTTATTTTCATCTATTTTCAATTTCTCTTTAGTACTTGTCGTCGATTGCTTCATTTCCGCCATCTTCTTCACCAATTTTGCGACGTTTTCTAAAGTCTCAAAAAAGTCCAAATTAGCTAAAGGCTCCAAATCTTGAACTCGTTTTTGCACTTCGTCTACTCTGTTTTTTATCCAATTGAAAATTTCCAAAGGTGTTAACTTCTGTTTCAAACCGTAGTCGATCTCATCTGTTACATCATTTAAAAGATCAATGTAATACCTCAATCTATTATTGTTAGGTGTCGCCTTGGAAAGTAAATGATCTTTGAGATGTGAGAGATCTCTAGAAACTTCGAAAAACTTTCGAATCACTTTTTCAGTTGCACACATTTCTTTTTGATAAGTGTCGAAATTGGACAGTTTCAGTTTCGATGTTTGAAAACATGCTTGGATTTCTGTTTTCCACTTTTTCAGAATCGCTAGATCTTGATCTTTGAAACGAGCGATCTCGGCCATTTTTTCAACACCTAGATAAAACTCAAAGTGTACACCTTTCGAATTCATCATTCTCGTCATTTTCCTAATAGAACTAGAGCATTTTTCATGGTATTTTGAAATGGTTCGAGTGCATTTTTGAGATTTTTAGTGCTCGCTCCTTTTGCAATCTTTTTTTTTTTTTTTTTTTCAAAGAATTTTTTCTGAATACTCACTCGAATACTTTCAAATAATCATTTGTCCCTTTAAATCCAATGAAATTCTGAGTATCCGACGCATCCCTATCAAACATCAGTTCAACTGCATCAAAAAGATTGTCCATCGTGAATTCCAAACTTTTTGGCCGATTTTTTTGGTCCCAAATTTTTCTGGTCTGTCCAAAAATGACCAATGTCTGGTTGACATATTCAGGTATCCCATTGCAAATTGAATCGTAAGAAACAGCATATTTTCAGATGGACTTTTCTCGACTTCTAGAAATTTGTGCAGAAAACCGAATACACCACGAGAAAGCCCGTATTTGAAACTATAGATGAGCAAATTTAGAAAAAATTCTGAGATGAAGGCTAAACATGGTTCCCTTGTAAACTTTTTTCTAGAATTTTCAAAAAGTTCGAAATTGTGATTTTATAGAAAAACAGTATTACAAAAACCATATAAAAAGGGATCCAAACAAATTCAGAAAAAAAAAACAAAATAGTTAGAGAACAAAATCAGTGTCGTTTCGGTGTCAGATACTCTTCGCGCTTCTTGATGACATCGTCCTTCAGAATTCCCAAATTCTCGTGTGACGACTCCAAATAGCACAGGCGACGTCGTCCTTTGACGAGAACACGGGCGGTCGGGCCGAAGTTTTCGGCGTACCATGTGGAGGCGAGGATGCAGAAGATTGTGCCGATTATCTGGAAAACTTTCTTTTTGTTTGTATTTTAGAGAAATGCGGATAACTGGACAAACATACCGTAAAACCTGTATCAGAAGTGCCCCTGAAATTGAAGGGCCCCTCTAATTGAAGTGCCCCCCCTAGACACCCCGCGAAAAATAGAAGTGCCCCCTCTAATTGAAGTGCCTCTTTGCTACTTACTGTGGCCGCCGCACGACGACGAAATATTGCGGCCCGAGAAAAAAAAGTTTCGTTTTTTTTTACTTTTTGTCGTTTTTTTGTTAATTTGGTGTTATTTCCCCGTTGAAATCGAGAGTAATGAATTTTTCAACTTCAGAATGTCGGAGGAAGACTATTTTCATGATGTATCGGAGGAAGAATGTGAGATATCAAAAAACTGAGAACACAAGGAAAGAAGACAGAATTTTACGATGGAATTCAAAAAACAAGTTGTGGATTTTGCAAACAAAACTTTGCTTATAACAAATAAAATTGTTGATGTTAAACAATTGTTAAGTAAAAACAACAAAAATCTTAACCGAAAGACGATGTTCCTATAATAGAAGTGCCCTTCTCAGCGACCCGCGAAAAATATAATTGCCCCCTCTAATTGAAGTGCCCCCCAAGAGACCTCACGAAAAATAGAAGGGCCGGCACTTCTAATACAGGTTTTACGGTATATTTTTTATTTTTCAAAATCAAGTTTCGAAAATTCTTTGTTAAAATTTGGAATTTTTAGTGGCAAAAATGACATATTTTAGTCTTAAAATTTAATTTATTTGAGCTCTTAAATCAACCTTGTTATATGAAAATTTAACAATCCAAGCTCGTTTTCAATTATAAACTCTCGATTTACAGCTTTTAAGACTCGAAACTCACAATAGCAGCAATCCAGAGTGCCAAATTCCAGACGTTGGTTTTCGCGAACACATCGCCACCACATTTGACACAAATCGCCAATTCGAGGACACAAATCACAACGAACACCCAGGATTGCATTCCGACACGACGAGTCAGAGGATCCGTTGAGAACACGTAGAATTGTCTGGAAAAGGGATGTGTTGGTAGTGGTCTAGAAAATGGGAGAGAAGTTAGGCCACTAGGATGATGGCTTAGAAATCCTTGTGGGAGAACTTAGGCCACGATGAAGATATCCTAGAATTCTATGGCCTAGAATCCTAAATTTTGTGACCGAACTTATGAATCTCTGATCTAGAATCCCAAGAGATTCCTCTTCCATTTCAAATGAACCATTTACCTAATAGTGGGTGCGGCGATGACAGCAATCAGTATAATCCTCCAAAAAACCACCGGATGCTTCGTGTCGATTGCAAAAATGTGCTTGATGAAGAACGTGTTCAGTTCGGCGAGCTGCATAGGATTACTGTAGTTTCATTGGAAAAATTCAATTTTACCAGCCAAAACGACACCAGAAACGTGAGAAGAAACGTTCGACGGATCGCTTTTGAGAACGATCGACTGTAGAACCAATCGTATCCACTCCAGCTGGCCGGTGTGAATTGAAGAGCGAATCGCTTCATTTTTCCACGGCGCGTTTTGATGTTTCTAAAAAAAATAGGGATTTTCAGCTATTTTATGCTAAAAGAACGCCCAATTTTCAACATAAAACCTCAAAGTTTGGGGATTTCGGTTCAGAAAAATCCCGAAAACCAACCTGATACTTTCCCAGTGAAACTGTCGCATTTGAAGGAATTCACACAGCTTCATTCCGACGTAAATTCCAATTCCATTGCACAGAAGGACGTCGAGTATCAGCGAATCCCACCAGCATTCGGCGAAGTTCGGTAGAACATCGATGAACATTAACTGAAGGAAGAATTCCCAAAATTCAAATTTCCCGCCGAAAACCCATACCTCTGTAAATTCCCATATAATCGAAATAAACCAGCACAGGACCCAGTGTCTCAACAACAACGTCTTCATAATCCATCCCGTAAAATGGGAGAATGCGAAGAAATCCACGTGGCTCCAGATTTTATCGAACGACAAATCCCAACAATCCGATGCGTACTCCTTCTCTTCAAGAGATTTCTGACCGAGTCCTTCTGGATCCAGCCAAGTTAGAATCTGAAGAAAAAATGAGGATTTTCCAATTTTTTGACAGTCCCAAAATTATGATTTCAAAGAGGGTCCTAAAAGGTGTATTATTTTCTAATGCACCAAAACGTGTAGAAAAATATGTAAAGATTCCAATAGAATTGAAGAAAAACATCAAAAAATTCGCAAAATCTCGAAAAATCACTACAAAAACGCGAAAAATCGCAGTTCTGGATAATTCTGGTATTCTTGCCAAACTGAAAACTCGGAAAAATTCGCGATTTTTAACGAATTTTCGAGATACAAATATTGATTTTTCTTCGATTGTTCGCAACATTTTTAGACCTTTTTAGGTTTTTCAACTGTTTTCAGAGGATCTCTTTCGATTTGTCCGAATTTTTTGTCTGAAATTTGACTGGATGGTGTTTTTGACGGAAGATTACTGTAGATTACTGTAGAAAACCTTGTAGTTTGTAGTTTTATTGCGAACACAATCACGTCAAAAAGAAAACTACAGAAGGAAATTTTTCTACAGTAATCTACAGTAATCTTCACGAACACTGTTCCATCAAATTTCAGACGAAAAAACCGGAAAAATCTTTGAAAATAGCTGAAAAACCTAAAAAGGTCGAAAAATTTTGAAAAAAAATCGAAGAAAAAATCAATTTTTCTTTCGAAAAATCGCAAATTTTTCAAAGTTCTCAGTTTTGGCGGGAATTCAAAAAACTCGAGAACGGAGTCCCCTTTCAATGCAAAATCCACCTTCTTCAAGTCCTCATAGTTCTGAAATAGTGCGAATTGCAGTACAATGACATAAATGACAGATAATCCAAAAATAACACGCCAAAGAATTGGATGCGGACGGATGAACGGTCCGTTTGGGAATGTGAGAGCACTTATCAGAAGGAAAAGAGCCCCGGCTCCCAAGAATCCCTCGTAGTAGTTCGTTTCGGTGGAGTTGTCGGTTTTTCTGAAAAAAAGTTCTTTTTCGAATTTTTAGCTATTCTGTTAGTCTGTTTGACCGGATTTCTGCTTTTTTGAGATTTAGCGATTTTCAGAAGTAAACACTTCGAATTTTTACGTTAAAAAAACATCAATATTTATTATTTTTTACAGCTTTCGCCTTTATTCTGTTTGTACTGATGCCCATTTTTCAGAATTTCAGCAATTTTAGGCTTACTAACCCAGCCGCGGCTTTATAAATGAGACAGGCGATGACTAGGACAAGAACAGTGATACTATGCGGTTTATAGAATTGATCCATCGTGACGTCATCGACAATTCGTTCGTTGATCATATCGAAATGCTTCTTTTCCAGTTCCACACGATCCAGACATGTCGAAATTTTCCGTTCGCTGTAAATTTGAACTTTTTCGGGATTTTTAGCTAGTTTTCTTGATTTTCGAGTGATTTTTTAACAGAAAAATGAGTGCATATAAGCTGAAAAGCACGAAAATTGACCTAAATAGATTTTTTTTAAATTTAAAATTTTGAAAAAAAAATTCTTCCGTACGGCGTATGTCGATTGTTTTCGCCATCCGTCGTAAATCCCAGCGTTTCATCGTAATACAGAATATCCTTCGTTTGATCTTCACCGCTCATCGACGTTGATCGCTGTCTGAAAATTTGAAAAATCGAAAAAATATAATTTTTGCGGAAAAATAGTACCCAGAGTGCATGCGAGGCAGTTCGAGGATTGAATCGTCGCTGTCATCAGAATCTGACATCTAAAAATTTGGGTGAAAATTCGAAAAATTAGCGAAAATAGAGAGAAATTTGAAAAAAATCGGCTGAGAATAGAAATTTTTCCAATGCATGTTATCTTCCGCACAAGTGCACATCTTTTCAGGGTTACTGTAGGCACAATTTTCTGATGATTCCAGGTGGATTCTCAGCATTTTATTGGTGTAATTTTATTGTAAAACATTATTAGATATTTGAGTAATTTACTCCGTTTGATTGAAAAAAATTACTCGCAAAAACTTTTTTTCAAGCAAAATTAAAGAATTTACGACAAAATGCACAACTTTCTACCGTACCACTAAACGAACTTCGCAACTAAATATGGGGGTTTCGGTTGAAAAGCATATTTTTATTCAAGTTTTTAATGAGGAAAATTGCAAAAATATATAAGTAATCCTTGACTAATCCTTCCTTCCAAAGCAAACAAAAATTCCACATTATTCCTCCCTTGTTGTCCGTAGCAACCATGTGAATCACCTGCTTTCTTTTCAAATAAAAAATCCAATAAAAAAACATTTTATTGCCAAAAAAATGTAAACCCAGAAATTTCACAAATAAAAGAGAGACAAAATTTACATTGAAAACGAGAATCTAAGAAACCTGTATTCTATAGGAATTGAGCAGAAGATGTGTGTTTTTGAAAGCGGCCCGTCGATTTCCCGGGCGGCACAAAACGGATTTTACGGTTGCTCGATAGGTGGTGCTCATTACGCAGTAGACGATGAATGAGGTCAGACAGTTGATAAGAGACATCAGATCGAGAACCTAAAAATTTTCAATGTCAAATTTGAGTCTCTCGGGGTCGATTTGATTTTCTGCGGACTTTGAGAACTGGGACAAAATCTTTCAAATTTCGAATTTCTATCAAAATTCAGTCAAGATGCAAAAAATTCTACTCTAGAGTTTCGGGTTACTGTAGCGCCATAAGTACGCAATCACCTTACCAAACATCAAACCCGACGACACTTGGCAAACCGACCATGCAAATTTCAAAAATCAAATTCTCACCTCTCCAACATTAACGTAAATCATGGTATGTACATGTGTAGGGTAGATAGCTGATAGGATAGCTAGCAAACCTTGTGGCATTTCGGTGCATAGGAAAACGACAAGCATTATGATTAGCATTAATGTGGTACGGTCGATTGACACGTTTCGGCATTGCGACACTTTTCGGATTCTTCTGGAAATTCTGAATATTAGCAATAGAGCGCGTATGCTAAAGCGCAACTTACGGTGATGATTCATCCCTAGTGGTATTTGTGGGCGTGGCTGATGTCGCCAGAAGTTGGAATTCCTCCTTCTCCCTCTTTTCGCCTCTCAGAATTTTCCTTTTTTCACTCATTTGAACTAATTTGTAGATTAAAGCAATTGTGAACCAGAGGATTAAAAGACTGGGAGAGCCTTAAGGAAGTTCTGTGTGTCGGTTTTTCCGGATGTCTCTATTTTACCTTGAACATAACTCCAGTGATCCATAAATTGACTCTAAACAGCGCACACCCATTGATTGATGTCTCATCCAGTTGAACAGTGTAGAGTCCTTCGAGCTGGAAAACTTTCAATTACTAAATTTGAATTTTTCAGAAAATTCCATTCTAGATGCAAAAAGTTCACAGGGTAACGGCTGCGCATGGTATATGTCTAGGCGCGCATATAGGATGCTATGTACACCCATAATAATTTCGTGGGTAGCGCGTGCGCGCTATATGCGTCGTCGCTGGGCACGACTGGTCGCCGGTGGGCGCACCCATATAGCATCCATATAGCATGCACGCTTTTCCCATGAAAACGACAACCCACCAACGACACTCCGCTATTACGCTAGTGCGCGTTGTTTAGCAAAATTTTTCACCGCCGATCTTGATCAATTTTTCGATCATATTGATCATATTTTCTGCTTTCAAAGAACTTCTCTCACTGTTTTCACATCTAAAAATTATGGCTAACGAAAATAAAACTTATTTTTAGTAAAGAAATTGGTAAAATTTTTTACAAAATCCGGTTTTTCTTGAAATTAGGACTTTTCTGTTTTGCTTCGGAATAAGCGGAATAATATATTTTTCAGGTGGAATACAGGTTGGTTGGTAAATTTTCTGATTATTACGAAGTAAAAGTAGGAAAAAATCCGAGAAACACACAATTATTTCGAAAACGAAATTATGCGAATTAATGCCAATTTCAAGACTTTGTTGAATTTTTTACAAGTTTTCTATATCGCAATTTTGAAGGAACAATTTATTATGTTATATCATCCAGATATTTTAAACTTCCGGCCATAATTTTTCTTGCTGTGATAAAATTCTGTGAAAACTGGAAAAATGGTCACTCTGTGAAATCTGAAAGGGAAAATGAACGATATTGGAAGATCTGAACAAAATCACATCTTATTACAACTATAGTTAGATGAACTAATCCATATAAGAGATATTCATCGCCAATACGGCCTGAAATTGTAGATGAAATATGGACGCGTCATGCCCGATCTCGATGGCGCGTGCGCGCATATAGCGTACTATATGCGCGCAAACGGTGTACCTATGTCGTCCATATGAGGCGCCGCGCCAACGCATATACCATGCGCAGCCGTTACCCTGTGTTAGAGTTTCTAGCTCTATTTCGAGTTTCTCGGTATACTGTAGCTCCAGAAATACGCAAAAACTGAATATTCGACTGCGAAACTTTGAGCTAGAAAGCTGGAAATCACGGGGTAGACCTAATCAGCCATCAGAATCTCAATTCAAGCACTTGATATCCATAAAAAAAAACCAAAACTAACCTTCAATTCTCCACCGATTGCTTCTGTTTCATTAATTCCTATCACATCCTTCACGGGCACAATTTTATGAACCATCACTGTCGGAATAGAGATAATAGACACAATTAGTGCCGTAAAAATCAAAATCTGCTTTAGTGCTCCATGATTAATCCATTTGGCATCCAGACGGTCTAAAGCGGTCCATCTGATGTAGGCCATAATTACAGACAAATAAAGAGCTGTTGTATGAAGAGCAATTGATGAGGTGACGTGGGTGATCAGAAATATCAGCCAGGGATACGAATATCCTATTGTAGTTGCTGGAGAATCAAAAATTCGAAACCGGAGAATGTAGATGAAATAGGAAGTCATTGTGATAATATCACATATTGACATAGCACACAGTAATGCATTGATTATGTACACTCGCATTGCTTTCCTTCTGAAAAATTGGGTTTTGTTTGTTTCAAGCTCTAAATTCGGATACCCTATGGTTGTTTTGGCCCAGTTACTAATCTTGAGATTTCTAGCTCAAAATTGTCGTAACGTTTGTTGTTCGTTTGTTGTTTGCGTACTTTTGAGAATATCGTAACCCAAAAATTTCAAATCGACTTTAGAGAGTCAAACTCTTTTAGTTCTAGACTGAATTTTTGTATGAAATCCGAATAAAGTTATCACAACTCTTAATTTTAGGTTCTAAACCCCAAAACACTCACGTCAAGACATAAAAGTGTAGACTATTGAGGAGGACGCCAACAAAACACACGAAAAGACATAGGTGCCGGTGAAGGACTGTGTAGACTCTGAAATATAACTTTTTAATTGATTATCAATAGAGCACATTGAAAATAACCAACCGACTGAAAGCGACCAACTGATCAAAGAAGAAAATGGTATTGTTGTTCTCCAAATCGAACAATGGTAGGTCTTGAGTGCACATTTGACAATTTTAGGGCATTCCTAAAAATTGAAGATTTTGGAAAATGAGGAATACGAAAAAACCGGTGAAAAGGGATAAAACATTGAGATTAAATGATCTTTGTTACCAAATTCAAAGTCCTCAAAAAATTTGAGTCTAGACTTCAAAAAGTTACAGTGTCTAGCGTCATTCTGAGTTTTTCGGGTTACTGTAGCTTCGAACGTACGCAGACACTGCATTCAAAGATTTCTGTTGAGCTAGAAAGCTGAAAACTGTGTGCAAGACTGAAATAAAAATGAGCAATTTGAATATGTTAATTGAATTTAATGAAAATCATTTTTAAGAGCCAAAAATGAAGATAAATCGTATTTGCTTTATTGATTTGAATTTATCTCGATTCTTATGAGAGATATGAAAAATTTGTCAATTGATAAAATATTGATGGTTTTATGGTACGTATTTTATCAGTTGACACATTTTTGATATCTTTCGAAGGAACCGAGATAATTGAGCTCAAAGTACACTTAGGCTTCTATTAGAGCAAATACCGTAAGATCACATTAGGGAAGGTCACAAAACCAAGAAAAAAAAAGACAAGTGACGAAAAACATGAGAAATCCTATAAAAGGATGTATAAGTGGAGTGGAGGAGAAATGTTCCAGGAGGACTAAAGAGGGGAAAAATGAGAGAAAAGTAGGCGGAATAGGGGGAAGGAGCATTTCAAAGTTAAACGATGTTTCGCAATGACAACTTGACAGCAATGGAACACGAAAAACTCCTTATTTTGTAGATTCTAGGCCCTCGAAATTTTGCAAAAAATATCATTCAATTTGGTTAGAATTCATATTTCAATTCAGAAGAACTTTTTCTAAATGTCATAAGACCCAAAGTATCAAAAAGAACTATATTCTTGTTTAGATTTGATTTTTGGTTTTCGAAAAGTTTGAACAAAGCAGTTTTTAATTATTTTCTGAAATTTCTAAAAGTCAAAAGTTCACTTCTCAAAATTCTATGCAATTTACACCAGGAAATAACTACGCACTGCTGCTGCTATTTAGCAAAACTTCCAAATGCAAAACATAACAAGAGAAACTTCCAGTAATTTCGAAATTCAAAAATCAGAAGAACCGGAAATGTTTAATTTTCAAATACTGAAAGGGTCTTTGGGTTTTTTTTTGAGTGGATGTATGCGTAAGAACAGACTGACATGGCAGATGGAAATTTCCCAGGTGGAGTAGAATGAAAAGAGTTCAAGTTCAGGGAAAACTAATCATGAATTCAGATACTTTCCAAAGTTCTAGTCTAGAGCCAAAAGATTAGACTTCTCTAACCCTGATTTTAGCTTTTTGGGTTACTGTAGCTCCCAAAGTACGCAAGCATTAAATTTTACGACACGTGGAGTTAGTGGTTTACAAGTTTCAGATTAGATTAATTACTTTTTAAATAACTCTAAAGTTTTCAGGCGAACTTTTCAGATAAGACGGTAGAACAAAATTAGGCAAGGGCGGGAAAAGGTTAAAGGTGGGGGGACATGAAAAAATAATGTTCTCGAAATTTCGTTTAAATATGCCTCTCGAGGAGTTGAACGTGTGGGACGAGGATTGAGGGTGCGGCGCCGCTACCGACTGAGCTACACGGGCAAAGAGAAAACGGTCGCCCGATTGCATACATAAAGGCGAGGACGACAGCTGTACGCAGAGTGACATTAAGCGTTGTACACCGTGACGGTAGAATGCATACGGCCCCGAAAATCCCCCGTAAAATCTCCTATCCCCCCAACTTTAATGGTCACAAATCATATTTCCATCAATTATTAGGTCACAATATTACTCATAAGGCCTGAAAATTTCAGAACTTCTTACTGACAGATAAATTATTCATACGATTTTTGGGGAACTTATGTACTTAAAAATGTCTGAAATCAGAGAATTTTTGATTGAATGGATGAAGAGCAGTAGAAAGAAATTTTAGAATTTTTCGAAAAAAAAGTATAAATTTCTGAAACGAAAAAGAGATCAAGAGAAAATGATTTTCTGGGGGTCCAAATGTTTATTTCACTTTTCCCTTTTGTCTGTTTTGCCGAAAAGAAGAAAAAGAGTCCTAAAATAAAAATAAGCAATAACTCAAAGTTTTACTACTTTCCCCTTTTTATTTTAAAATAACAAAGAGAGCAGGGGACCTCATTTATGAAAAAAAAGTAGTAAAAAAATCCTGAGTCTAGAAAGTAATATGGGGTTGAAAGAAGTTTTCAAAAAAGATTTATGGATCATAAATTATAGTTTGGGTTATAAGAAACCATAGAAAAATAGAGGTTTCCAAAGACTCCGCCCGCCTTTCGAGGAAGGTCTTTTTTAATTGCAGTAATTAAGATTAGAAATAACTTTTAAGTGTTTTAATTATCAAATCGAAGTTTCTTACAAAATGTCAGTCTAGAATTTGAAAAGTTAGAGTGTCTAACGTTATTTCAAGTTTCTGAGTGTACTGTAGCGCCAAAAGTACGCAAGCAATGGATTTGACGACCAGATTAAAAATTTCAATATAAATCAGTTTTTTAAAGACTCTGAGCTAGAATTAGTTTCCGAAACTTTCAAAATTTTTGAAAAAAAAACAGCTAAACCAATAAATCACAGACATATGTTCTCTCTGCTTGTAATTTGACCAATTTGAAGATTATATTTCAAAAAAATGTGTACATGTGTTTGAAAACAGAGAAACAAAGTTTTTTTCCTTGCAGAAAAAATGATGAAAGATGGGATAAGTAAATTTGAGAACATATGTTTTTCCTTGGAACCAAAGTTCAGAATTTTCTGGAAATTGGCACGTTAGACTGTGAAATTCAAAGCCTTTGTTTTCAAATGCAGATTTCCCACAACAATTGAGCCTGGAATCAGGTGTCTGGAATCAAAAAAAGATGCTCGGCCGACTCATGAGTTTAGAAATTTCAGTCTAGGTCTTTTTGGAAATGTTAAGTAAAGAAGTCAGAAATGTTAAACTACGTTAGCAAATTCAGAATTCTCACAAAATTTCCTTCTAGAATCAAAACAGTGTAGCACCCTAGCTCTGTTATCAGTTTTTCGGGTTACTGTAGGGTAATCACCAAACACCCGACTTCACGACACTTTGAGCTAGAGAGCTGAAAATTCAAAGTTGAACTGATTAAAGGACGAGGAACTTGAATAAAACAATAGAAAGTTAAAAAATCACAAATTCTGAAAAATTCGGAGAAAATACATTCTGAGGTCAAAAAAACATTCTAAGTGGGTGAGTCTCTTGTGCAAGACAAGAACCTAATAAAGTTTGCAAACAAGCAATAAAATGGGAGGAAAAAAGTTTTCTTTTTCATTTTTTCTTCAGAAAAAGGGAGAAGAAGAAGACGTGTTCATCTTTTCCCTGTCCTTTTCTTTTCTATATTTTCGAAAGAACAACAAGTCCAAAGTTTGAAAAAAAGGACAAAAGAATGGAGGTTAGAAAACCAGGGACGTCTATTTTAATAGTTTCTCGTTTTTCCTATTTATTCTAAAAAATTGGAAGAAAGGAGTATAATTGAACGAGTGGGAAATGAGAAGAGCCCGGAAAATGGGGTCAATTAAATATATTCTTTGAGCCTTCTTTTTTTGCAGAACAGTTAAAATAGCTGTCGTAAAATCAAGTACATGGTGTTTGCGTACTTTTGGAGCTACAGTGATGCTCGAAAAATCTGAAAAATAGCTAGAGAGCTCAAAAATTTTGATTCTGAACGAAAGAACCATATGGCTTTTTCAGATAATTTCTAGATTCTCAATAGTTCAAAAATCTCATTAAATAGTATTTTTGACTCCGCCCCTTTTATGTTATGTTCTCCTGAAAATAAGTACCCAAGAAATAAGGAAGCACCTGTCTAAAACAGAACATATTTTGACATTTTTAGAAAATTCTAAAATTACGAACTTTTGTTTGTATGTTATAGTTTTCATGTGCCTATGTAAATGGTAATCTAACAAAGTGGGCGGAGTTAAAAATGAAAATCTCATTTTTTCGAACTTCTCGAAAAAAATTACACAGATGAAAATTTCGAAAATTTCAATTCATGATAATTTATATATTTTTTAAGTTATGAAAAAAAAGTGTGCGGAGCTTAACACCACCAGAAATAGAACATTTCAGCAGAAATTAAGTGTACCAAAAAAATTACGAATTTACGCAATTTCAATGCTCAAAGAGTGAGAAAAATGTCAAGTTTCGAGCAAAAAAAAAACGACAGACGGCGTCATTCGGAATTAATTTGAAAAATGAGAGGGGAGAAAGTGGGCGGAGCCTAATTTCAGACATTCACATCAAAAAAACAAGAAAATGTCGGAGAACATGAGAGTTTCTAAATTTTTAATGAAATATTTTTTAATGAAATATTTTTTAATGAAATATTTTCAATGATTTTAAACCATTGTTTGAAATTTGTTGGATTTACAAGAAAATCAGATTTTGTAAACATTTGATTTTCTAGAATTTCTGATCATCTGGAAATTTCTGGAAAAATTCCAAAAAGCTTAAAATCTCTGAACCTCTTCTTTTGATTTTTTGAAATTAGAAATTCCAAAATTGGAAGTTGACTGACTTTCTAGAAAAAATCCGAAATTCTCTTTTTCAGAATTTTTGTTTAATTTCCAGTCAAAAGTTTATGCAAAATTGTTTTTAAAACTTCTCAAAAAGTATTTATAGCTCAATTTTATTCCTGTTTTCTCTTCCAGACTGGAAATTTTACTCTAGTCTGAAACGGAAAAAAATGAGGAAGTTTTGAGGGAAGAGGTAGTTCTTGGAATTTTTTTCTGGACACTTTTGGAAGGCATTCTGAACAATTTTTAATTAAAAAATAATCAGGTAAACAAAAACAAGGAAGTCTTCTATTTTTCCAAGCCCCTCTCGGAGAGCCCTTCTATTAGAGGGGTCCTTCTATCAAAGGGGCCCTTCTCATAACGGTTTTACGGTATTTTTTGTTTTATGAGAAATCCAAATTCAAATGTGATAGTTTTATTGAAAACATAAAC